AGAGAGAGAGAGAGAGAGAGAGAGAGAGAGAGAATGAATAAAAAGAAGAAAAGAGAGACAGTTCAACTCAATTCGAGTCGTTTCTCGAAGCTTCTTCAGAGATTTCTGTTCGTAGGAGCAGAGGAATCGGCGCTTGTCACGGCGATGCCTCTCTAACGACATCCTTCGCATCGGTTACACATAAATTGATGGCAAATTGATATCGTTGCGAATACGTAGCCGAACAACATCGATCATCGATCCATCATTCTGTCTGCCATTGTTAAGATACGCGGGTAATTTGTCTATCCCGCGGAACTACATCGGTAGCACCGAAGAGTCATTACGGGGTCCGACAAGGTTGAAAGATTAAGGGATCCAATTTAGTCTTCGTTAGACGCTGGATATGGTAATACCGACGTTCCGCGGCTAATGCGGATCGTGAAATATCGTTATCGAAGCGTCATCCTTCATATTCATCGGCCAATCGTTCTTCGTTATTTCCCGTTTTTCGCATCGCGATTTTATTTTCGCGTCGCGAGATTCGCGGAAATTCAGAGGAGAGTCTGAAAATAATTTTTCCCGCGAATCTTTAACTGCCGATAATCGTCGCATTAATGACGTCGCTGGACGTCTGCCATTCGCGAGAGACAAGTTGCAAGACACGACATTTAAACGTCGAAATCATTATGTATCTTTGTATATATAAATATGTATATGAATTATGAACAATTCGTTGCGATACGAGCGTTACGCGGACAGTGGTGTTTTACGCAACAGCGTAAATGTAGGATAATGTTCCCAACGATCAGTTTATTGCATTATTAATAAAACGACGACGTAATTTATAATATACGCGTTGCGTAACGCGTTATTTAACGCGACGTGTAATACGCGCGCGCGCATGGAATTTGTATTTAATTATTGCGTTGGACGACGCGTCTCGATTATTGCCCGTTCGAACGGAACTTGCATTTAAACTGTGCATTTCCAAATAATTACGACTCCACTCCGTCTAATTTCATCGAACCCGCCGCCGATGAATTACGACGCGGCTGTGCGTCGAAAGAGAAATCTCGATCGCGAAAGTCGATCGCGGGGGGGGGGGGGGGGGGGGGGGGCCGGTTTTAACAGCGCCGACAACAAATTTCTGCCGCTCGATCAAAAACGACATAAATCGCGAATGAAACGTGTCTCGATAGATCACGTCTCTCGATTTGACCGGAGCGCTCGCGAGCTCTCTGTGCTCTCCCTGATTTCTCTTCTATCGATCGGCTCTCGGCTGCCGACCGGTAAAAATGAAAATTCGCCGCCGTGCAAATGGCGCCGAATAAATCGTCGCGCGTGTCGCGTGTGTATTTAAATCACGCTGTCACGTGAAATTCCGCGACCGGCGATTTCTCGAGACTTTAAGGGGGTATTCTAGTGTGAACTTTTGAAAAAATCGATTTTTTTATTTTTTTTTATTTTTTTTTTTCCATATTCTTAAAGGACACAGTTTCAAAAATGAATCTCTGTAACTTTACGTGTGAACTCCTAAAATTAACGAAAATTATGGTTGTTTGAAGAACGCGACGCCAGCTTCATTGTTACCGCAATACTAAACTTTAAAGGCATTTTTCTGGAAACTATGTTTTTCAGAACGGTGTCCATGATACCTCAACATCTACTTGACCAATTGACTCAAAATTTTAAGTACGCATTTAGTACACGTGTGACTATAGCCTCTACCAGAATCAACCAAGAAATTTTATTTTTTATATTTCTTTAGGCATCCGAATTTTAACAAAAACATGGAAAAATCGATAATCGAACTTCAAAGTATCGCCACTTTTTTAATTACCGACTCTTTTCTTTTGTTTTGGTACCTGCTATAGCCAAAACTCATACTAATTAAAGAACATTCACGTTTTTTTATTACCGACAAGCAGAATGGCCGGAATCATAACAACCGTGAGACGACCTTTTTCAAAAGCTATGTTTGAGAGTATGCAGCGCCACTAATTTTAACTCTTTCTGTCCCAAAAAATTTTAAAACATCGTTGAAATACGTACAAATGAATGAATCTTTATTTTAACCTTTCGGCCTAGAAATAGACCTCAGTACTTACATTATTCTTTACATTTTGTTTTCCCTTTCAATTCCCTTAGTTGTCAAGTGTTCTCTTATTTCTTTTCCCTTAGATTGCATGTCAGAACTTTAATCTAACCTTATACTGTAAACAGACTAATTGGACTAATAGAAAATGATATATGCACAATGCCTTAATACTTAATATATTTCTCTTTGGTTCTGCATTTTCTTTACTCTAGTTGTGTCTCTATTGAAATACGTACAAATAAATTGTCAATTTAACTGTAAAAGTAAAAAGTATAATAGTTTCTTTGCAAAAAATTCCCTAACACGCATTTCACACTAGAATACCTACAATACCCCCTTAAATCAAGATCAACGTGACCCCCCCCCCCCCATAGGAAGGTCTAATTCCTCTCATTCTTCTTGCAAAGCAGCGGATACAGCCGAGCTAATAACGTGTCCCGCTCTCTGTATCGAGTGAAATCGATGAGACTTAATCCCTGTCTTCGCTACTTTTCCCTTCTGCTAAATTCTCGGCGAGCAGCCGAGTCTTGTCACGTAGCCAATTCGATCCGATTCCTCCTTAATATTCGAGCTAATTCAAGTCGAATCCTCGATCAACTGGACGTTAATAACGTTGACGGGAGTTTAATTATACTGTTTGATTCGCGCTAAAGTATCAGGTTGCGTAATGAATTGGGTCGTCCGCCACTTGCCTTCTTTGTTTCGTTTTTTAAACAATTGTTAAATACGTATTACAGTGCGGAAAACATGGTCGGACAATGTATGTACGTACGATCTTTTATATTGAATGAAGAAACGTATGGTATGGATGAATGTCGCTTGTAGTTAACAAACAGAAAGCAAATACTTCGAGTGTAATACAAAATTGAAAATACGATATGGAACATTTAAACTATTCGATGATTATTTATTACTACAGAAAATATTAAGTTTATTGAAATATTTACTAAACGTGTACTATTAACGTTAGGATTTTAATCGTTGCAACGCAAGAAACGTTCTTCACAGGTAATAATTATATAATTCAGAAAAGCAATTTTTTGATGAATATATGAAACTTTTACAATTACTTACTTCATGTGTAAAGAATAATCGATCATATAATGCGAACCTATTATTTCTTTAGTTTCTCTTCTTTTATCTGCAGTGACTTTCATTTCACGGAGAAGTTTTCAACATGTAGTAACATAAATTTGAGTTTAGTGGTAAGATTAGTATAATAAGAGACCGTGTAAGATTAGTATAATAGTAATATAAGAGACCAGGTAATGGAAGAAACTTAGATGTTGGAAGAAGCCCCAATTCCATCGAGCTCAGTAAGAATGTGAGGATGTAAAACGAAAATGAGTTACAGAGAAATAAAAAATCAGAAGTCAGGAATCGTATTAAAGTCAGATGAGTTGAGTTGATAGTATTTGGTTGGTCAGAAAATAACTGCACTCTTTTTGTGTGCAAATAAAAGACCAATTTTTCGTGAGAAACAAAAACTTTATTGATATATTGACCATTTCATTCGATTACCTTTTTCATGGGCAACCACGTTCAAAAAAGTTCGTATCTTTTTCGATAAGAAAAAAAAAGACGATCTGATATTCTCATCAGCAGTGAAATTTAATAAATCAGTGCCGTAGTTTGAAAGCTTCTTCACCGTGCACACTGCATAATATTTTATGAGCTTGCACAGCGTTTTCTATTTCCTTTTCCGGAAGCATTACAGCAACATAGGACAAAAATTTTCCTTCTTGAAACATCAAACAATTATTAACGAAACCTTCCTTTTTTTTTTCTTTTGTTGAACAATGAGATTACAGAATGAATCTAAAGTTAAGCTACTTCATACATGTCCATCTATTAAAAAAAAAAAAAAAAAATGCAATTACTTTTTGGTCAACCCAAGAAAAAAGAATCAGTTAAATGAAATTGATAGTAGAACCGAACAGCCGAGTTGAAAAGTCACAGTCGAGTCGTAGTCATTGCTTAGTCGTTTAGTCGTATAAATCACTAACCGAATGCACATAAATTTCGCACAATGCAGTACATTCCCTGCGAATATAATTTCAAAGAATAGGTACGACACTCGAGAGGAGAAAAATAAAAGAGGATGTACGTGAGTCGATTTCAATACGAGAACAATGTTCTTATAAAAGTGAAAAGTCTCTCTCTCTCTCTCTCTCTCGCATTCTCGCTCTCTTTCTCTGAATAACGATGATTCGTGTTTCATCGATCGAGAGGTACTGCTCGTAACAATATCACTCATCCTACGGATAACTGACAAATCCGCGGATACTCACCATTGTAAATAAAATGAGGCGCGGTACGCGGCCACGAAAAGAATAATGGCGCAGCAGCAGTTTGTCCGATAAAATTATTGTCCCGTAATTAACGAACAGAGTGGAGAAACGATTTTATTCCACCGTAGATATGTACCTCCCCTCGCAATCGGTATAATTTCCGTTCTCTCGTTGCTTTTCTCCGTTGCTTTCTGCACGTGACAACTCTGTCGCCGCCTCGTTCTGCTTTAAAAGGCAACAACATGCGTGTATCCCGCGCCGCAACGTTTATTTAATCGGGGAAATTGCACCTGGTTCTCTAACCATCGTAAACTCTGCTCCACTCGAATCGAAATTATTCCGAGCTGAATGTTGGGAATTTCGTTCGTCCGGCTATTTATATCGTATGTTGTATCGCGACTTTGGTCACAGGACTAAAACGGACCTAAAAACGACCAAACTTTGAAACGTCGAAACACAGTTGAAAAACAGAGGATGGTCGATAAAATGAAACGGTAGTCCGACCACTGTTCGAGGAAACAATCGCCACTGCGATTCGGTAAAAGTGCCGGCCGATACGATATAAACCGGTGCACCGAACGACCGGAAATCGACTCGATTCCTCCGCGCTTCTAATCAGCGTACCTATCTCTCTCTCTCTCTCTCTCTCTCTGTCTGCCTCTTTCGCGCGAATATACACGGCCAATTACCCCGTTCCTCGATAGAACGCGAACGAACGAAGACAAACGCCTCTTCCCAGTCTTGAACCGGGAAAATCGCACGCCTCGTCTCGAACGAATCCGTGTCGCGCGGTGTATGTCCACGAAATATATGTACACCCAAATATCTCCTCTCTCAACTTGATCGTTCCGCTGACACCGATGAAAATTCCGTTGACGCTGGAGTAACACCGAGCACGAATCAAATCGTTGAGACCATTCTCCGCCAGAGAGAAGAAATTCGAATATTCCCCCAATTTTGCGCGAACATTTCGCCTCTCATAGACAATCCGTAGACAGGCAGACGAGATCCACCGACGAGCATGTAATTTCGAAGGGGATGAAAGATGGCTGACGTGAGCCTCGTCGATGAAACGCATCGTTTGCATCAGACCTCTCTCTCTCTCTTTTTTTCTTTTTTGTTTGGAATTGTTACCAGCACACGTATTTTTGATATTCGACGCGTTTCGAATCGTCCACGCGACTCTGTGGTTTACAACTCCGTACAATGTCGGCTATCAGTGGCTGATAACGATCGCGATAACGGATGCGTAATCTCGTAAGGCCTATATCTCGAAACGGTGTGAAACGTGGCGTGTTCCCGTGTGTACCAGTTTGCACCGGCGTAATCGATAAACGGCACGGGACTCTCGGGACAGAAACAATAATTACGACGTGATTTCGCGCGTGATTTCATCGATTTTTCGCGAACTTTTTCATCGACAGTTCCTTCTAAGAAAAAGAGCGGCGAAAATCAATTACAGCCACTCGAGAGAGATATCGTTGATTAACTTCGACGTTGCCTTTTCATCATTCCCACATGTTTGACGTTGGAAAATTGAATATTACGAGACTTGTTTAATCACTTCGTCCTTTTTTTTTTTTTTCTTTTTTCTTTTAATAAGGAACTCTAAAATCGTATACTTGATAACGTGAAAAACCGTAAAATCTTACAAACATTATTATGTAATGGTTATATCTACAGTTGGTCGATGCACTTGTGTTGGTACACAAGGAAGAGCAGCGATACGAACATCACGCATTTATCGGGCCGCGTGGAAATTTTTGAACGGCTGACCTGATTTCTTCGCTTTATGCAACACGATCCAACTTTTATCACTTGGATGAAATAAGCACTTATCAGCTCGGTGCCTCTGTATTTTCGAACGAGAAGCTACATACTTGAATCAAAGCCACGATCATCGTGCACGCGACGAACGATTAACGCACATCCTATAAAGTAATATTGCCGCACGTCCGGATTAACGATCAATCAATTACGTAGGTAACGCACAACCGCACGATAAATTTCACGACGGAGCATTTCGAGTGGACCATCCTTCGAAACATCAAAGTTTTGTATAAAAATTCATATCGCGCGCGACATTTGCGCGCGAATCAGTAATTAATCAATTGTGAACACTCGTCCCGAGCTGAAACGACAGGCAGAGTTGAAAGCCCTTTGCCCGATCAACATGGCGCTGTACAACGAAAAATAAAGCTATCACAGAAGTCTCTACGATCTACGTGTTGATAAATGATTCGTAAACTGTATAAAAACACGCAAATTAAACAAAAATTCCAAATCGATGGCGGGCACCATGCTATGAGAACGTTTCCATGTGTATGGTGTCCATGCTCGAATACATATTCGGGACATTGTTGCTACCGCTTTCTGCACAAATCGATCCATCGGCCTCGTTGTCCGCGTCCTCCGAAAAACTCACGAGCACCTGCGAAATCAAAAAGAAAAAAAGAAACGTTTAATTACTCTCTGCCTCTTTCCACTCATATCGTCATGAAGGAACAATTGCCCAAGGAAAGATCGAAACGTAAATTGATTCTTGGACAAAATAACGTAGCGCAATAATGCAGGAGCTGTATGGAACGCTCTCGCGCACATTATAACCGCTGTGTACATTGTTTTCCAATTTGTCGTCGCTGTCACGGTTTATTCGCCGCGACGTTTAGTGGAAGAGAGGTGATTTTTGCTGAAAATTTATCGACCTTCGCGATATCGATCGATCGCGAAATATATCGTGACGAGCAAATTGACAATTACTGCAAATGCGAGCCGTGAAAGGTTCACCAGGCTTTGAACTTTCGATCGGTTCGAATGTTCATCGATGCGGTACCGCGAACGTTTATCGCAAGTGGAGGAGAAATAAAGCAGAGTGAGAGGAACTGGTACGAAACACGGAGCCTGGATACTTTCTGTCTGTTCGACCAGGGACCAAAAAAAAAATCTAAGAATCTAAAAACTCTCGACGAGAGTTTCCGTTCCCGCGATTTACATAAGTACAAGCTCACCGTGGAGGGGCAAAAAGAAACAGGTTTCAATTTATCTCGTGTTACCAAGTCATTTTTCGCGAAGAATCGAGGACGTCGCGTCGATTTTGACAATTTTTTTTGACAATATTTCATCTCTGTTCTTCTCACATTTCGTTAGATCGTGTAACAAATTCGTTCGCGCCATCTCAACGACGATGTTAATCTGTCTGTTGTATGTCGCGTCTTTTTCGCGACGAGTATATGCTCGACAGAAGCTCAAGGGGTTAAAGGCCGCTCGCAAATCCCGTTTGTCTCGCGAACGCCTTTGGAAACGGTACAGTCCCGCCAACTAAATTATGCGGTCGGTGTGTCACCGGTGTCTGTCCGAAACGATCGCGCCACCGAGATCTCAAACGCGATAAACACGATCGACGCTTGCTTTTCGCGTCGCCAGCAATTAACCACGCCGTCGTTCGATCGCCTTTGATCGCTGGTGCAATTCTTCGTCCTCGAGCGAGAAGAACGAATTTATTATTATAGATCTCTGCGTAGCGGAAGATGATCGATTCACTGATCTCGCGAATCGATTCCCCTTCAATTTCGTCCGTTCCTCGCCGGCGAGGAATCCGCTTCGTGGAAAAATCGCAGCGAAAGACAGACCGCCGCGTACTGGCTTCGGTACGACCGTAAAATCTACATATCTATCTCCGCGATCTCGCGATTTATGAACTCGATCTTTCTCGCGTTTATGCGACCGTTCCAGTCGTAATTGCCTGCCGTGAATCGCGCTGAAATTCCATAATTCGTTCCATAAACTTCCCTCGTGTCTCGGATTTTATCGGTTAATATCGCGCGATCTCGAGCTTTTGTTTGTTGCCGAATTTACGGGGATAAAGGGGAACGTGCAATTACGGGTTAAACGGCTCCGACAAGGGTCAATAATACTTAAAAATAAACAAACGATCCGCAGGCGAAATAATACAGGAACCACCGTGATTACTCGGCTATTTTCATAATTCCCCGACAATATCGAATAATTATTCGCGCGATTCGTTTGCCGTTCGATTAATTACCGCGGGCAATGTCGTGTTCTTTGCTTTCGCGCGATTTCGACCTCCCAGCTTCCAACGTCACGCTGTATCCTGTGTGATCAATTCCTTTTAATCATTTGTCGTCGACGAAGCACGTGACGTACGAAAAGACTCGAATTGGTCGTATTGACTAGCACACAAAAGATTTATGAGTCGATTTTGAATAATTCTTGATTACAAATATGTTGTTCTCTGGATTGGCTCTAGTTTTCGTGTAACACATGTTTCACAAACTTTACGTGGAAAATTACTGTTTGTCCTGTTTGTCTAAATCGACGTCCAAAATGACGCCCGATACAGCTGTTTTACCAAATCCGTGATATTTTTTCTTTTGTAGCGACCAGCAGATGTCGGAGAAAAGAACGTTTTCTCAGACAGAAAAGTTAGTAGAATTTACGACTCACGTGTCGCCTACGCTATTGAATTGCGAAGGACAAGTTTAGTTTTTACAGTGCGTAAGATCAGACGTCCGCACTTATAGTTTTAGAAATTCGGCCGCAATAGCATTTCTGCGAAGCGTCGTAAACTCTAGGACTCCTAAGGGCCGCCCAGATCGGCATCTGGAAACTCACTTGGAGAAAGTAAGTGAGGTCCAGAGGAAATACAATTCAGGGAAATCGGTCCCGGCGAAATTGCAGCCCCACTCTCAGAGAAAACGCATCACGGACGCAAGGAATAGGCGCAATTTCGTGACAATTCAATTGGCTAAAGCTCAAAAACGATTCAGCTAATTAGGGATGTTCGAGACGGGGACCGAGTTTTCCTAATAGCGAAGACAGAGAAATTCGGACAGTCATAAGTGACTGATAAAGACACCGCCATACGACGTGAACATAACTCGAGCTACATGTTCACCGCGCAACTTCGTATAACCTAGTCAAATAAACTTTATTAACCACGAACACGAGTCTACCAATCTATCACCTCGCACTATCTAACAAACATCCCCAAACTTTCTTTCACCGAAAGAAAGGTGTTGTATTTAACAGAAACACGATTATAACAGAAAACATCACTGCTTTCGCAGTGTCTTCCGTACTCATTTTCATGGTGAAGAAATACTGATACATTTACAGCAGGTAATTCAAGAACAGGTCAAATTTCATCGATTTCGATTTTCAATGTCAGTGTCGATTCAGCGAAACTGAATCTATGATACGAAATCAAGATGATGAAAGCATGAACTCGACATCAGTTTCTATCACTATACTGAGTCACACTCAATGTTTTTAAATTGCCAAAATTATTAAATTGACGAGAAAAGAAGGAAAATGATTAAAAAATAGTTCGAAGTGCAACATGAAAAAAAATTTTTCTTTCTTCCTTATTTCCCACAATTGATTGCGTAATTGATTCGTCATATTTGTTACACGGCTCACTGAAGTAATTAGAAGGCCGTCGAACAATAACCGGGTCGTGAAACCGGGTTGGGACCGATAAGCGATTAATTAAGCCAGAAGGTGTTTGAAATCAGAGTTAAAGTGAGGGTGAGTTTTGAGGTTGGCGCCAGGGGGGAAGAGCGTTTCAGACCGAGAACGAGCAATCTCTGAGCCAAGCTAATCTCCGAGGGATGAGCTTTGTGTACGGGTAAACATAACCGGATCAACAAATCTCGTCGCAGCCACGTGTATATATATATATATATATATATATATATATATATAGAGAGAGAGAGAGAGAGAAAGAGACGACCCTTGGAATCTTATCTCCATTAAGGAGACAGGACTGGTGCGCGCTGTGGCGCGAGACACGGACAAACGACGCGAACGTGATTCTATTGAACGGCGGCGCGAGGACCCGGTGGAATCTCACGGTTATTCTCTCGGCGCCCCAGCCTCGTAATCGCTTCGCTATGAATTATTTAAGGACGTCACACGCCCGAAAGCAGCGTGAAATACTTTGCCGTTTCGAGTCGTTCAGAATTCAGACAGCTTGCGAGATACCATCGAATTAAAAATTTCAGTTCAGGCCCCAGGTTGGAACGATCCAGGGGAGTTCAGGGTTGAATAAGGGTGGGAAGGAATGAATTTCTAAACGGCGTTAATCACAGCGAAACGCTCGCTCGCTCGTGTCCACGAACTTCAACCACAGAGGTGCAACTTTTTTAATTAGCGCTCAAATTGCGCTTCCTTTATTAACAGGCTCATGCAAATTCGCGACGCCTTCCTTGAATCTCCAAGGGAATTTCGCGTATATAACCCGACGAAATTCGACGCTGACGACAATGACTGTGGAGGAGGAGGAGATGGGAAATTTTCTTCCATCATTCCCCCTGTCGTGCTCTCTCGATGACGGCACGCGCCGCGTGTCCTCAACTTATAATCGCATCTCACGGAGTACACTAACCGCGGTGGTTGCGCAATTCCTCGGAGAGCAAGGGAGACAATCGGGGAACGTGCAATTCACCTCGAAGGAGGGGAACATCTCCTCCGTCTCGCCGACGACGAGGAGCATCGTGGAAAGGGGGGACGTCGATCGATCAGAAGAGTCGATTACACGCCGGTGCACCAGCCGTGTATTTTCAGCGCGATTCCTCGCTTAAATGAAAAATTCCTCTGCCATCTCTCCACCGACGAGAAAAAATAGCTGAAGGTTGATAGACGCTGGCGGTAAAGGCATCGGGTGTTGCGGCATTGAAATTCTTCCAGCTTGCCAGAACGGAGATTAAACGGCTGGGAAAGTTACTTCGCCGCGCGTGTGAATTAAATTGTTTCTGCACGGTGTAATTAATTATAAATAATTCCAGACAGATTTCAGAGGCGTTGGCGTAGGCCAAAGCATATAAACGGGGTTACACGATGTGGGAAGATTGGTTTCTAGCGAGCTTAGAAACCGCCGAGGGAGGGTCTTCGCACCGTAAGGCGACGAATCCATTAATATTCCTTGGAATATGTGGGACGTGAACGAGGATCGTCCTTGATCGAACAGCCTAGCATTGGCTGTGCATCATCTGCTCGAGACAAGAGCATTGTGCATTGCGCGGAACGCTCAGAACTTCATCGATTCGAAACGTTCGTAAATTATTGTTTCGCGAACCTGAGGCGTGCAGAGGTGGACGAAAGCTCGATGAAAAAAATTGTCCACAGTTTTAAACTGTTGAAATTTTCGAATAAAAATGTACGGTGATCCAATTGGTCTCATTTTAAAGCTTGCCGCACGATTTTTCTTCGCCATTTTATTGAACTTTGAACATTAAGGTTAGGATTTCTTGGATTCCCTTGGTCGTTTAATTGTAACATTCAAGGTTCGATGAAATGGCGAATAAAAATCATACAGCAAGTTTTAAGGGGTAAAGAAAAAGACTTTAATCTTCAAAACAGTAAAAGATAGTATAATAGGGGCAACCAGAAGTAACATCGTTTTTTTGTTACTGTACAAAATTGTATTTTATTTAAATTATTGTCTCCAGATGACAATGTTTATCAAATTTGAAAAACACGACATTACTCGTGAGTATTGCCAACAGTCACGAAAAAATTCTTCAGTGACTTTGGTGATGTTCAAATAAATTTCAATAACAGTGTCCATTCACTCTGCATGACGTGAAAACATACTTTAACCTCTTGCGCTGGAATGACGTGCCACGTCAACAATTTTTTCACCCAAAATTGCAATATTTTCTCAGTTTTAAGTATATATTTAAGTATAACCCAGGCAAAACGAACAATAAATTTATTACCTCTCGATAATTTCTATCCACTGATATCATACCGACGAGTTCATAGAGAAAGCGACAAATTACTGTGTACGGTTTGGTCGCTCGTTATGGTCCGCAATCAGTCGCCAGCGCAAGTGGTTATAAATAGACGAGGTTTCACGCTTTACAACGAGACCGACAATATTGTTGCAACGAAGCTAGAACAACAATTCTTCATCCAACTTAAATCCACTTTCGTTCACCACTGTGCTTGTCTAAACTAAACATCCGATTCGATTCGAACATTGCACGCCCCTTCCCTTTATTTCACGAAATTTTATCCTCGGCGTGTTAACCTCCGTGTGTTAGCTCTTAGTTTGAAGTTCAACATAAAACGCGGTAGTGGAACGTAATCCTTGAAACAGGGAAACTACGTTACCGCGGATATGCTTGAAACTTTTACGATACATACCTGATCCAGGGAACTTTGGGTCAGCGTGTAGTCGGTGGCTCTCAGTTCCTCGGCCAGCAGCTTCAGCTTATTAAAGCTGCTGCTCACAGGCATGTCCTGGCTTCGCGGTATCAGCAAACGAGCGGCGCTCGCCTGCCTCGAGGAGACCACAGCCTGAGGGAAATACTTCGCCACAGTTTTCCTCAGATCCGTGGACAATATCGGCTGCCGGAATCGCAGGAACGCCACGTAACCTTCGCCGAATCTGCATCAGCAAAAATGCAAGTCTCGCAAACAAAGGAAAGAATATATTCACCTGTTTATCAAAAACACGTCTTATCGATGATAATTTTAAGTCTGAAATCCAATGAAATTTATTATGGCCACAGTATATGAGCTGACTGTACAAAGGTAGCATAATCAATTGATTTTCGAAACCGAGGGAAACAAAGATACCCGACAAATACTTGTATCGCGATTCAAGTTACTTAGTTCGCGATATATTTGTATTTGTACTCATTACAGTATTTGCATCAGCGTCGATGAATTATGGCATGGGAAACGAATGTATATGGCATGTGCTTGTCGGTCATTCTTCTGTAAATTTACATGCGAAAGGGGGATGGAAATAGCGGCACGTAACCAATTCGATTCTACTAGTCGTAACTTCGTCCGAACAAAAATCTCTCTGCCTGTCATCCAGACAGTCGTATATTTGTATCGTCGAACGTTGTCGTCCGGGCGATTAAACGGCGATTTCGAAAATCCCGCGATAACTGCGAAAGAAAGAAAGAGAGAGAGAGAGAGAGAGAGAGAGAGAGAGAGAGAGAGAGAGAAAAGAGAGATGGCAACGAGTGCGCGAGCAACGAATATTGAAAATCCGAATGTAATTCCCAGCAGGGGAACAAACCGGGCTGTTTACGAGAAGTTTACGGCGTCGTCCGTTAAGTGGATATTGCGCGCCACGCGGTATTTCATGCAAGGGCGCGAAAATATCCTACTGTTTATGCTACCAACGACGAGCATAAAAAAAAAAGCGAAACCCCGGATAAGGACACAGGCTCCTCCGTGACGTCCTTCGGAGAATGTGGATGGATCGCTGCACGTGCGCGCGCGATATCGTAAATTCCGTCGCGCTCGATGCCGCGCGCAAAGAGAAAATAGGAAGGGGAATGTAAGAGGGTTGCTTCCGGCGGGCGACGCGAAAGCTGCACAGCGCCAGAGCTAAATATTTATGGCGCACTACGTTATATCCCCAAAAAGGAAGTTAAAGGGCTGGGTGGCTGGCGCGAGCAACTGTAACTCGGGAGGGCAAAGTGGTTCGGCTCGTGTCGTGAAAATCGGTTGACTCGTTGTAACGGAGAGAACGTAATCTAGCGAACCGACGAGCCGTATGGAAATGAAATTCGATGGAATCCCCGGCGGGCGGGTGATCGAGTCGTCGCGCGGAAAATGACGAGCGAAATTAAAAATCAATCGGCAACATGAGCGGCGGGGAGGGAGGAGGCGTGCGTGGGAATGGCAAATAAATTCGTCGCTGTTACGAATTTTGTCAGAAAGCCGCCCGTGAGATCGGGCCGACACGAACGATCCATTAGTTGAAACAACATCATTAAAATGCGCGGATCGAAATTAATCCTGTCCGGATATCGGCGCCTGCATATCCGCCCCCGAAATAATTGAACATTTTGTTGCGAGACCGTTAATAGTATATTAATGTCGAATGGAACTTTTTTTCTTCCTTTTTTTTCTTTCTTTTTTTTTAAACGTCCGCCGTGCGCACGTGTATGAATAATGGAACAAAAAGTTGCTGCGTGCTCTCGATCGATTCGAGCGTTCGTGTTTTCCGCTTACTTGTGTTTTAAATGTTGTGGCGTTCCTATGCATCTGAGGCCAGCCTTGGCGAGGATGCCGACCCTGTTGCACAGATTTTCGCACTCGGCCACGCTGTGCGACGTGAGAATTACGCAACTCTGATTCCTCGTCATACGCCTGATCGTTTTGGCTACGAGATCCTTCGTCGCCGGATCCATTCCGCTGTTGAACGCGGAAGAATTGAAAAAATAAAGAAAAGAAGAAACGAGTGAATCTGATTCTGTTTATTAAAAAAAAAAAAAAAAAAAAAAAGAGACGCTTAATAATAAACCGTTTTGCGAAAAATACCTAGTCGGCTCGTCCATAAGAACCACCGGCACCGGCGCCATTACGCTCAAGGCGGTGCACAGTTTCCTTTTATTGCCTCCGCTGAGACTGCTCACTCTCTTGTGCGCGTATTTCAGAAGATCGAGTCTCTTCAACGCTAACTCCACCGCCTGAAACAAACAATTTTTCACCGACTAATATTAAATTCCTGCAAAAGGGGAGGACCTGGCTGGTTATAGAACAGAAGGGAAGGAAAGGAGCCCTTCGAGGAGCAACTTCGAAGATTCACTCGCGTGGAATTATTTGTCTTGCGAGAAACAAAACGGAGCGAGAGAGAGAAAAAAAAAGAAAATGAAAGAAGAAAGGAAGGGAGCATGATGAATTTCTCGCCGTTACAAGCTTGAAGGATGTTCGAACGTGAAATAATTAAAAACACAATTCTCGCCTCGACGGTGAGGCACGACGGTGAAGTCTTGCTCAGAGGTCCTCGAGTAAAACCGAGGCCGCGAGTGAACGGGGTTTGAAAGTTTGAACATAAATCAACTCTCTTACCTTGGGAACGTTGCTCAGCCCGCAAACTTCCCCGTGAATCGTTAGACACTGATGCGGACTGAGGAAACCGTCCAAACCGTCGCTCTGAGGACAATAACCGACCTCGCCGTTGCACAGTGGCCCGGAGCCGATCTCCTTGCCCTTCAGTATTATCCTGCCTGCTGTCGGTATGATCTCCGTCGTCAACATACGAAATGTGGTGCTCTTCCCGGCGCCGTTCGTCCCCAAAAGGCCGAAACACTTTCCGGCCTGCACACCGACGCTTAAATTCTGTACGGCCACGTTCGTCCCGTAAACGCTCCTGTACTCCTTGCGGAGTTTCACCGTTTGCAACACGTCGTCCGACATGCCACCCTCCACCCTCATCCTCTCCCTCGACACGTCGTCGTCCTCTTCGAACACCTCGTACGGGCATCTCTGCCTGTTCCAGCTGGGAAGGAGTCGGCACTCTGTCATCAGATTCAGAGAGAAGAGGACGGCGCCAACGATGGCCAGGAAGACGTAATGAAGACCCAGTAACTCCCAGCCTAACGGCGACTGATAAGTGTCCATGTGAAATTTCCCCAACAACTGCGCGGTGATGTCGTTCCGCGATATTTGAACGAGAGCGTCGCCCAGGACGTACTGGGGGAAGATCAGCAGGACGTAGTGCAAGATGTCTCGTACGTCCTCCGCGGTTTTCGTTTTACCGAGAATGTCGAGCACCAAAATGGTGGCCAAGGATGCTACGCCTATGAACGTGTTGACGCAGAAGAGGACCATGTTCGACATGCTCGAGTCGTCGAATGCTTTCTCCGTTAAATGCGAGAACGGCAACGCTGCCCACCTGCGACACGGCGAATTCAATCGATATCGAACGAACGAAATACTTAGATTTAACCAGTTGCGCTGGCAGCTGATTCGCGGACCATAACGAGTGACCGAACCGTATACAACAATTTGTCGCTTTCTTTTTCTTTTCGAACTCGTCGGCACGATATCACTGGATAGAAATGATTGAGAAGTAATAAACTTATCATTTGTTTTGCCCGGGTTACATTTGAATATACGTAAAACTGAGAAAATGTTGCAACGTTGGGGCAAAAAGTTCTCGACGTGCGTGGCACGCGATTCCAGCGCAAGAGGTTAAGAATATAAAGGTCAGCCAAATTTGACTTTTTTCTAGGACGTTATATTTAACCCCTTGCGCTGGCGAAACTGGTTCGCGGACCATAACGAGTGACCGAACCGTATACAACAATTTGTCGCTTTCTTTTTCTTTTGAATTCGCCAGTACGATATCACTGGATAGAAATCATTGATGAGTAATAAATTTATTATTTGTTTTGCCTGAGTTGTACTTAAATATACTTAAAATTGAGAAAATGTTGCAATGTTGGGACAAAAAAATTCTCGACGTAAAATTCCAGCGCAAGAGGTTAACGAACTAGACATAAACTTACGCGAACAGGAACAGTAATAGACAAATGCCAGGTAGATTGTCTCTGGCGACGTACGTTGGGAGACCAAAGATTTCGAAAACGACCACAGCCAGAGCAACGGAACAGCCAAACACCTGAAAGATCGGAATTCAAGTAGCGTTGCAATTCGTTCTCGTTCTCACGTCACTTTGATCACTCACAAAGAAGTCCCAAATTAGCACGGTGATCCAGTACGTGACAGGATGAACACCGGCGAGATAGAGGATCCTCTTCTCTTCCGACAGTCTTTCCCTCACCAGTTCTTTCGATCCTTGAGCAGCCACCAAGTTGAACGCGATCAAAAGGACGAGCGCGACGCCAACGTCGGCCACGTGCTGCAGCCTGAAATTGACGGGAATTTCGCATGGTTAATATCGAATCGTTAATATTGAATCAGGCCGGTTGCGAGAATCGCGGCACGGCGAGAGTCGTCGGTGGAATTAACAGAGAGAAATAGGATTCGAATAATGAAAGCCGCGAAATCCGGTTGAAACGTTCAACGACACGATCGCGCCGCGAGTTAATTAAAAGTAAACGGAACACGCGCCGTTTTATTATGCACATTTTCCGCTTCATTCCGCCGACGCGGTAAAGATCAGCCCGGCGTGCTAATCTTTGATCTTAATTGGATTTCGGTTTATCAAAATAGAAAGCCAGGCGCGCGAGCACGCGTATTATCTTTTGCTTTTTCGTTTTTTTTTTTTTTTTTCTTTATTAATATGTTGGAAAAATTGAAACTTACAAGGTCGTTCGGTTTAGTTGATCGCTGGAAAGCTTCAGCGGATGATTCAACGTTGTTAGACGAGCTTGAACGCCCGACGCTCTCAGGATTGCCTCGTTCAATGCGCTCAAGTACGACGGTAATGCGTGATGACCTTTGTTATTATACCAGACAACAAAAACTGGCTCGTCGTCGGGATCGAACAACGACCATCCTCCGTATCTGTCAAATATCATTTTAGATTATTAGACAGTTGAAAATTAAATTCATAAATGAATCTTTATGTTTTCTTTTTTTCTTTTTTCTTTTGTGTGTACCTCTTTTCTATGTATTCTTGGTGAGTCGATACTATCCAGTCTAGAGTTGGCCTGCCAGGCAATACTTGCAGCAGACCTTCGACAGCTTGGGACACACCGTGACAAACCTGTTGGCCATCCAAACACTCGCAGGTACCCGTGTCCTAATGAAACAAAAAATAATTACTGCTTAAACTATTTTCTTTTTTTTTTTTTTTTTGTTAGTGTTTTTAGCATAGTTCTAAAGCTTATGTACATTAGGCAATGTCTGCCACGCGCCAGCGTAGTCATCTCCGAATCGATCGTGAAGCTGAAGTGACACGTGTTGCAAGAACGAATTGTCGCCGTCGTCGATACTGAAAAAAGATACGTTACTGTTAATAATAATATAATAATAATAATAACTTCACGAATCGGCGAGCACTTTGCATACCTGTAGAAATAGGTCGGATGTGTGTCGTATAATTTCGGGGTAAGAACCAGCGGCGGTTCGTCCTCGGACGGTGGCCTGATCAAAGAGAATCCCATAGCGACCGCAACGAACATGGTTGGCAAGAGTAAGCCGGCTAAGAATGTCAGCCAGTCCTTTTTGAAGTGCCACATTCGTTTCTTCAACAGAGCTTTCATCTGCCTGAGGGGGGAAGGATTCAAGGGTGCTTTGACATCGATTACATCACCGCTGTCTTTAGCTACTGCTAAATCTGAAAACGTTGTATTCAAGAGTTAAAAGTCAATTGTCACACGAATGTTAACGACAGACGTCATTCTGCATTCTGACATCGACTTACGTACCAACGTTATCTATAGTGACGATACTATCCCGGGCAGGCGTTACGATCGACGAGCCACTCTCTGCCCTCGAACACAGATCCAGAAACACCCTTTCCAACGTGTCGCATTCCAGGGAAAAGTGCGAGTAGCCCACAATCTTGCGACTGTCTTCCAAAACTTTCGTAGCCTGAGCAATGCTGAAATTGAAGGATTTGCTTGAGAAAACTTAGTAACAACAACTCTCGTCGAATGATAAAGCTTCGAGTCGTAATCCTACTTGTTTATCCCATTCTTCCCTTGGAAAGGCAACGTGACGACCGCTTCTGTGCCAGAGACTTCGTTCACCACCGCGTTAGGCACCGCTTCTTCAATCACGTCCTTCAGAGTCTCCACTTTATTCCTCTCTATCGAGTCAGCATTTTCGTCACGCTCGGCGGGGAACGTAACGAGAAGCCTGTAACCACGTCCGTGCATCATTTTCAGGGATAAAGGCGATCCGGTGCAAAGTATCTTCCCCTTGTGCATCACGACTACGGTGTCGCTGAGCACGTCAGCCTCGTCCAGGTGATGTGTCGACAGAATGACGGTCCTGCCGATCCTGTGCTGATCGATTAGACGCCAGATTCTGCGTCTCGCGGCTGGATCCACACCGGCGCCCGGTTCGTCGAGGATCACCAGCTTTGGCGAGCCTAGAAATGCCAAAGCTACGCAAAGCCGTCTCTTTGTGCCGCCGGAGAGCCGGTAGACCGGCTCGTGCTCGTGTTTCCCTAGTTCCATAGACATCAACATCCTGCCGACATTGAATTTCGTGTTCGGTTAAAACACATACTGCAACAAATACTACGTCATGCGCAAATAATTTTTATACTTTTGTTAACTAGACATTTTATATTAATTAATGTAATGTATTAATGTAATATATTAATTATAATTATAAATAATGTATTAATGTGATATATAAAAAAATATTTATATTTCTTATTTATATTATCTATATTTATATTTCTTATATTTATATTATCTATATTTATTTTTCTTATATTTATATTATCTATATTTATTTTTCTTATATTTATATTACCTATATTTATTATATTTCTTATCGTGAATAAAATTACACAGTGATAAAAAATTCTAGAGTGTCCGAATATTAATTCGATTCACTGTACGTATACAGTTGAAATCGGGGAGAGATTAAAGATAATCAAGGAACGGGCCAAAGATTTTTCGTTAAATTATCATCAAGTGTATTATTTAGCTCGTTTTGTTTCTGTTTTTGTCTTGTTACGTTTATAATTATAGGGTAAAGCAATGTAATGTAAAGTTAGAGGTAGTCGGCTGAGTTTAGTTATTTCTAATCACTTGAAATTAGTTGTATTTGATGTATAGATATGTATATATAGGCATATTATATTAGTTCAATACTTTTGGGCAAAAGAGGGAATTGAAAAAAATACCGAAAGTCAAGGATCCGAAAGGCAAGGATCAGAAATAAATTATATGTTAATCACGGAACGGAGTAGAGAATGGAAACGGAATTCCTGATGGAAGGACATCGACACAGCGATCGAATAAATACGTGTTTATGTACTAACTCGTTCACGCTTCGTTGCATGTTCACGTCGTCCTTGGTGTGTTTCAGTTTCGCATAAAAGATCAAATGCTCCTTGGGTGTCAGGGTGCCGATGAGCACGTTATCCTGAGGGCAGACCCCTATGTCGGGCTTGCAGCCTTCCTCGCCGTTCAAACAGATCTCACCGGTGGTCGGTGCCAGCATCCCTGTCAGCATCTTACTGAAACCAAAGTGCGCGGTTCTCCATAGTCGAGGATGAATCGAGATATTTGCGGAGGGAGATCGGAATTGCATTATCCTTATCCACGTACATAATGGTGGTTTTCCCAGCGCCATTTCTCCCAAGGAGGCTCGTCACCTCTCCCTCGTTAAGCCTCAGCGTAAAGTCATCCACCGCCAACACCTCGCCCTGATCGGTGTTGTAGATCTTCTTGACGCAGTCGAACCTCACACCTGTCTGTTTCTCGCTGACGGTCAAATTACTGACGTCGCTCTCCTCGTCTGTGCTCCATACAACACAAAAGACACGTGTTTCATTTCTGGGACTCGACAGCAATTCCTCGAGCAAGCTCTCTTGTCTTCTTTTTTTTCTGTTTTTTCTTTTTTTTTTTTCTTTTTTTTTTTTTATGTACAGCTTTGCCTGAACCTCGGGAAAGCAGATCAAAAGATATTCAAGCCGAGAAAGAAGTCGAGAGGATGCTTGGAGAAATCATTTTCTCTCGCGACTTCTTCGCATCACTTTCATTTGCGATATATGTACACGTGTATGGTATTCGCGGTTGTGGGGAAAAACCGAGTTCTACAATTCATGCGTCGCATGCAGTGTCGGCATGCAATCTGTACGTCGAACCAGTCGAGGAATAAGTACGAAGGAGCTTCGAAACTTCGTGCAAGGCGCGAATATATCCGATATCGTTGCACGATCCAACGTTGGGTTCGCGCGAAACTCAAACAAAATACATGTACGTGCACAGGCGAACTATCGAGAAGAATTTCTTCCCCCTTCCCCGCCTCCCCCCCTCCCCCATAAAACACCGTGATGTTCCGTGATATGCATTCCATTCAGGCAGCAACATTGAATAAATCAAGCGTTCGCAAGCGAATTCCAATTCTCGTGGAAGTAGTAGCAAACATTTGCATATTTCGGTGCAGTCCAAATATTCAAACATTGCTCTTACCCGTGCAAATTCTACGAAACAGGCGGACGGTACCCAGGCCAATTTATGCAGGTATCAGATGTTGCGTTTCACCCTCCCTATTCTCGCGATATCGAGCGACTTTGTAATTTCTTCCTCCCTCCCCCCCCCCCAAATTTATTAATCGATGTCACGCGAGATTAACGGGATATTCTGGTAATCCGGCTTAAAAGAATCAATTTTTTTCGTTACATTTTCTCAAAGTATATGCTTTGGAAAATGTCTATGTACAAGGATTTGTTTGAATTCGTAAAATTGGCAAAGTTATATATGTTTGAAGGGAACGGTGTACTGCTCACAACGTAAGTAAGAATATTTTTGTACAACGGTTAACAAACACTTCAAATGTGTTTTTCTCAGGAAATATTTTATTTTATAATATTATTATTTATTTTTATATTAGTATTATTTTATAATATTCTATTTTTTGTGTTTTTCTCAAATCCATATTTTTTGAACTGGCTGACGGGATATCTCACGTTTTAGTTGACCGATTGACTTGAAATTTGGAGGACATCTTCACCGGATGTATTTTTGTCGCATGAACCACGGATTTCAAAATCTGATGTTTTTCTCCATTTTTTTTTTTTTTTTTTTTTTTTTTTTTTTACCACTCAAAAAAACGAAAAAGGAAAATCGATATTTAGACTTCAAAATGCTGCCATTTTTTTAATTTTCGAAATTTCGCTGTTTTCGTGGATAGCCATATTTATACTAATTAAGATGGATTTTGGTTTTTTCAAATCACCAGATGGACCGGAATCACGTCAGCCATTCGAATCCTTTTTTAAAAACATGCTTTATAATTTCCAAGGCTATATAATTTCCACAACTTTCATTAGTTTCGTTAAAAGAAAAAAATTGTAAATACTCTTTAAATATGAATAAATCTGTGCGCGAAAATTGCATACCAAAATGTATCATGGTTTCCTTAGAAAAAAATCCCAAGGGAGTCGGTTTTTACGAGCCGGATTACCAGAATACCCCGTTGAAAAAAAAATTCTGCGAGAACAGGAGTATAAAATAGGAGTGCGGCGAAGGGAAAACGGCAGCTGAGGCATTTGAGCAACTGAGGCGAGCAACTTAAGCTTGAATGAGACGAGAAGTGTCGTGCGAAAGAGCGGAAGAGCGAGCGAGTGCGATACCTTGGTAAGTGGCTGAAGGGTGGAGAACGTCGTTAGTGAAATAGAGGTTGTTGACGAAGGTGAGGTAACTCGGCCTCCCATAGTGAGAACGTTTGTCGGCCCACCATAGGCTACGGGACCTCAAATCGTGAAAGCCCCTGCCTGGAAAATCATCATTCGCAAAATGCTCCGTCCGTTTTTTCCAAAGACTCATCCGGGTCTCACGTCGATTTCTCTCTCGAGGACAGGCACCGTCTTTTCTTTCTCTTCGCGAGTGCGACTAGATGCCACCATCCTGGCGATCATTCTTTTTCGAAGCTAAAGTTGCGTGAAATTTGCGACGATGCGGACGTGAGAGAGGTGCGTGTTCGTGAACGTGACGATGTTCCTTTCGTCGTCTCGTCGCGAACACATGGAGGGTGTCGGTAAAGAGACGAAATAATTTTGTAAATATCGAAGGATTTGTCGTATCGTGTTTAAGCAACTTTAAGTAAATTTTATAATTACAGCGTGAGCATTCGCATCTACAAAAATTATTATTAAATCAATCTAATTATTATATATGATCAAGAAGTTTAAATTGTCGACATCAAACGTGAAGGTTTGATCATGAGACGACACCATCCTTGTGTTCCTTTCTCTTTCTTTTCTCTTCTTGTACACACAGTTACAGACAGTAGAGTAATAAATAAAAGGATAACACAGATAGCGTGGAAACATTCAATAAATTCACGAGATCACCTGCACCAAAGATCCCGGAGTGTTCTCTCGAGATCTTCAAAACAAATATCGTGTTAGAAAGTTGTCGCCCGGATAACGTCGTTCGGTCACGTACGATCGTATAATTCGAACGAATTTCTCGACGCAGAGAACAAACGAACAAACAAACAAACAAACAAAAGAAAAAAAAAAGAAAAAAATAAATAAGAAGAAGGGAACAAGTTGTAGTACAGTCCACAGCTCCGCGACACCGCCACCAAAACGTTGAAAGATCGATTCTACAGAAGTTCTAAAAGTTCGCGCGAGTCCCGCCCGGAAAGGTGAGAGAAAGAGAGAGAGAGAGAGAGAGACAGACAGACAGACAGACAGACAGACAGACAGACAAGAATTCAACAGAAAGTTTTCTACCTGAGTTGGTGTATCTAGCGATGAGATAACCGATCGTGGCATAAAGACAGCCGTCGAAGGCGATCATTAGGAACACCAGGCCCAAGGACATGGAATCACCGGGACTGGATTCCTCCCACATCGCGCTCCAAGTCAGCCCGACGCCTTGAACTTCCTTCCTGGCGGTGTACAAGCAGCCGTAACAGAAGCTGGTCGACATGCTGAGACACTAGAGGAGATCACTGGTGTTGATAAATCGTTTCCTCCGGCCGGCAAGTATGCAGGGCATTTACATAATTTTATAGGGCGGATGGCGTGGTTTTATCGCGGTGCCCTAACGCGAACGCATCGCTCGAACGTGTTATTTATCACGGGGCCGCTGTTGCAACGTTAGGTGGCGATAACTTACGATGAGAAGCTTATAACCGAGGCCAATAACCGCCTCCATAGCAATGACAATGACGTATGGCATGAATGTCAGAAGGAACATGACCACGGTGATGATCGCTGCCAGGCTTGCCGAGCTGCACATCGTTGAAATCATGTAGCTGAAAATTCGTTTCGATATTTCTTCGTTTTAGTTTCGGTGCTTTGGTCGCGGCGAACCGCGCGGATGATATATTGATCGTTGGCTATCTTTACCAGAAAGTGACGATGGAGAAGATGTAATCGATCATCAAGATTAAGATCAAAGAGGGATCGGATTTTGGTAAAATCCCGCCGGCGAAGAGAACCGTGGCGATGGAGAACATCACGATTAGAAGTTCTATAAACGTGGTAATGAACCAGGCCATCGTGTTCCTCCAAGGCTTCAATCCCATCACGCTCATTACCTAGTAAAAATTTGAACCTCTTAGCTGATCAACATCGACTAATCGAGAGCTATGTGTCCAGTTACCATCGCGTTTTGAGATTCCCTTTCCCACACGATGTGTCTGACAGCTGCTCCCACGCACATCATCAACGCGAAGAAGAAACAGACTTGGACACCCTGAGACTCGTAAAGAGTGGTTTGAAAGCTGCATGACATTGTCAAAGTTCTCTCGTAAGATTAATCGAAACGTGAATAGAAGAAAGATGGAGAAAAGGCAAGAGTTTATTGTACACTCACGGTACGTCTTTCCAGCAAGGGTATGGCATTTGTTGTGTCACAGTCTTCCAATTCTGATCCTTCCGAGTCTTTGTACTTATGATCGCTCGATCGATAGAGTCCTGAAGCTGTACAAATCCTCTCAGGTATCTCAGGTGCTCGATGAAACTGCTCTCCGGGCCGGGAGTCCAAAATTGATTTTTTAATCTCTTGGTGGACTGCACGTAGTCCACGTCCATTCGAATTTTGTAAACTATATCGTCAGGTAGCTGCTGCTTCGTAGATCTGCCGGACCTTTTCGGCGCTTTATCCAGAAAAACAACACCGGCCAAAAATTCCCGCGTTTCCATCAGAAGCCGTGCTTCCGCTTCCATTTCCTCCTCGGATCGAAATCCTTTTATTCGATCCACGAGCACGCACTCTAGTAAATCATTCAACATGCCGACCATCGTTATCAAACGTTTCGACCTTTTCAGTCGCCACGAAATCTCGCTGAGATTCATATCGGCGAAATCTCCTGTGGAACAGAAGGGGCACTTTGTTCTCGTGAAAAAAGAAGGGAACGTCTGTTCTATTAAAGAAATCTGAACAATCAACTTACCGCCTTTGAAGTCACCGCCACCAAATGATCTGATGGCAATTTTTATAACGTCCGACGACATTATGTCTTGAAGCTCCTTCAGACTGTCGCTCATCTCGGTAAGATTCATCAACGAGATCAAAGTTCTCTCGAAACTGTTCATCAACACGCCGAAGTGCTCCATTTCCACGAACGTTTTGTTTGCCAATGTCATTATATTGTTGATCGCCGTGGTGTTGGGGGCGTAAAGTATCTGGCCACGTAGCAGAGGTTTCACGTAAGACCATATGATTTTCCCGCCATTCATCGTTACCATACTTTTGTAGGTGTCTCTGCAAAAATCGGCTAAACAGAGACAGAGGTGTCAAACCTCTTTATTTGAACGTTCAATTTCACAAATTTGGTATCAATATGTACATATACGGGTGACAAAAAATTGAAGGTGACCTTTGTACCTTGATAAAAAAGCAAAATACCATAAAACTTTTTTATGTAGAATTCAACGCTTTATCCGAATTCAGGAAGAAATATTAACTATTCCATTAAAAAAAATCGAAGGTGACGTTCATACCTTGATAAAAGAACAAAATAACATAAAACTGATTACAATACTATATGTTTCTCCCTGGAAACCATGCAATTTCTATCTGAAACATTTTTTTCAATACAACAAATATCTTGTGAGTTATCTGATGTCGTCATGTCACGAGACTCACCCTGTATATTAATAACAATTTGATATTAATATACACATATATCGATTACGTACTGGGCAGAGAGTCGAGCTCAGCCTTGTCGAACACTTTGCTATTGTCCTCGATCCTCGAGATGATTCTGTACAAGTCACCGTTATCGGAGACCATCGGCTGCCCGCACAGCATCTCGCTGGAATCCTGAAGGAACTTGGACGCTGCGAAACGCAATTTGAATATTTATTAAACACGCGAAGCTGCGTTAATTTCATTCGGCGGAATTTTGCATGAAAACTGACTAGGGACTGTAGTTTGATCCGGTTCTTGCGCATCTGTCTCCAACGCCTCCGCCGTTGGCATTCGAGAGGAAGAAAGTTTGTCTTTGAAGAACGGCAACAACTCCGCGGCCACGCCGAGATTATCCAGTACCATTTTTCCCTCTGTCTCCGTCAAGTTCGCGTTGGCCAATATACTTTTCACGTTCGCGCTCATCACCTGAGAGATTAAGATTAAACGTCCCTGATTAAAATCGACATTTTCTTTTCTTTTTTACTCTTTCGCGTTACTACTTGGTACGATCGTACTCACTGTCTTAAAGATGTAGTCGAAATTTAAATTTTTGATCAACATTATCGCCACGTCGCGCGTCTGCGAGTCGTCCAGCTGACAAACAGTGGAACTGATTTCCTCGGGGGTGGCTCGGCCGCCATTGAAATTCAACATGTCGCCGAGTTTCGCCGGCGAGCAAATGATCTCCCTCAAGCTGAGAGCTCTTCTTTCTTTCATGAAAACGGGAATCATGTCGATCTTGGCCTGGCTCAGCGTCAACGCGGCGTCGTTGGAAATTCCGATCTTATCCACCAGGTACGACCTCACCGCGTCCCAGTTGTCGAACATATCTCTGATAACGTCTGAAAATAAAAATATCGTGTCGGGCCACGTCGGATCGCGAACGTCGCGGTGTATTTCTTTCTCGATGTGAAACCGGACGAGAAGTCATACATTTCATGTCGAGCAGTCCTAAATTCTTGAAGATGTCCATCGACTGCAGCGTCGCGATTATTCGATAGATATCGTCCAGCACGTATTGATCCTCGACGAACGGCTTAATGTCTTCGGCTAATTCCTTCATTCTACAAAATAAAAGCAGGATCTTTATATATATATATATATATTTCGGGAAAGGGCCCAGAACTCTTTCCAGTGCCCGACGATTGCAGGTGTCCCAAGTGGTGTACCATAAACAGTAGAGAAAGTTAGGCCTGGGACTTGGGATGGTTTATGGCTAGCCTAGCGTTTAAGACACTAAGGGTATGGATGCGTTTGTGTGTATGTGTGTATGTGTGTATGAATGACGAATTTTTGTGCAAATGAGGAAGGCAGTGAGTGTCGAGAAGTCAAAGAGAACAGAGTGAGCGAGCCGTAAAAGAGAGAAGAGAGTGAATTGAGAGTTGCGATTCTAGCGAGTTTAGCGATTTTATAATCGTCACTAAACAAATTTTCTTTTATTTACCCTTAAATAAACAACCATCTTTTATCAAAATTCCTACAAATTAGGGTCTCAAAAGCCGGGATTCCTATATATATATTGAGTGAAAGAAAAAAAAAAAAAAAGGAGGAGGACAAGCATCCGCGCGAGCTCACTCGGTCACTCCCGCTTCTAATCTCGCCGTGATGCGATCTAGACATTCTTCTTACCCGTCGAAAAGCTTGTCCACCGTCTTATCCTTCAGGATATTAACCACTCCGTCGACGATATCAGGAACTTCCAGGACATTCGAGACGTCCTCAAAGTCTATTTTACTGGCGACGTCGAGCAGATTGCCGCTCTCTTCGATAACGACGGACAAGTGCCTGAGGATCTCCTTCAGCCACGTTAAGTTCCACGCGGCGTCCATACGCCACTGCCCCAGCTCGCGATCGATCCGATCTAGATCCAGACTCTCGGACAACCGATCGGCGATCACCGTCAACGAGCGATAGTTCGACGACGCTTTCGGATCGTACTGGAACGCTTTCTCCCCTCTCTTCGAACTGAGATAATTGTACAGGATCGTCTTGTTCCGGCATTCCGGCTTCGTCTTGCAAAGAGAGTTGTTTCTGTCGTTCAACAACGCGTTCACATTAATCATCGCTCCTGGCAGGAACGCCTCCACATGATCGACGTGCGACGTCTTCACGACGTCGCGCAGCGGCATCCAGATCGGGACGTACTTCTCCGCTATCCTGGACAACGCGTCGATGTTCCTGTGATTTCGACTCGTCTCCACGATGAACACGTTCTTCTGCAGCACGTCCAACATTCCGAGGACCATGGTCACGTACCTTGAACGCGTACTTACTTTTATCGTCAGGTAATTGATGTGATAAATGAACGATCGGCGCGAAGAGAGACGCTTAAATTAATTGATTTATTTTGAAAGTGGCCTAAAAAACCAAGCTGGCTGTTTTAATATTTACAGTTCTACGTTGTCTTTTCGTTTTTAAACAAATAATATTTAAATAAATAATATTATCATAAATATTAATAAAAAATATTAAATAAATATTTCAAAAAAATTAAAATAAATATTTTAAAAAATATTGTGATAAATATTAATAAAAAATATTAAATAAATATTTCAAAAAAATTAAAATAAATAAATTTAAAAAATATTGTGATAAATATTAATAAAAAATATTAAATAAATATTTCAAAAAAATTAAAATAAATAAATAAATTTAAAAAATATTGTGATAAATATTAATAAAAAATATTAAATAAATATTTCAAAAAAATTAAAATAAATATTTTAAAAGATATTATAATAAATATTAAATAATAAATATAAATAAATACAAATAAATATTAAATAATAAATAAATTATAGTAAATAATAATAATAAACTCGCTAAGATTTTGTACTTTGAAAATTAAAAATGTTATTTCATTAGTTTTGAAAGTGACTCAAGTCCATTTATAACCGTCAAAAACGTGTTATTTTCTAAACAATGTTTGTCATACTAATTGCGTTGATAAATTATACAGAAACACAAAAAATATTATACATAAATATTATAATGTCATACCACAAATATTATATAATACCGTGTTATCAATTACCAATGTTTTTAAATTTATCAAAACGCAAACCGTGAGATATCTTGATTTAAAGATAACTTGGGCCACTTTCAAAATAAACGGCTCAATTAATCTCGGGTGCTTACAGTCCTGGTCTGGAATAAGCGGGACGTCCGACGAATCTGTAGAAACATTCGTCCATCCTGTCGCTGTAGGTCTCGTTCCCAAAATTCACCAGTATGTCGGCGACGTGGTGGAACGTGCCTTCCAAAGTCTCCAGGAACTCGCGTCTAGTCCGTTTGACGCTTAGATAGCTGTAATTCTGTATCTATAAGAGGAATTGAAAGTTTCGCAGAGGCAATGGAAAACAGTGGAAAAGTTGAGCGGTGATCGTTGAAAATTTTTGAAACGGGACGGGGCATATCGTTACCATAGTAGCGGTTTTATTCCAATAGAAATCGTGCATCAGGATATCGTGGATCTTCGATATGTTCAACTTGGGCAACTGACACAGAAGCTTCCCGTACAGCTGATGGTTCCGCAGCTGGGAATTGAGAATTTCGAGGGGGATCGTGACGCACCACGAACAGTCTCTGAAAGAAAACTCCTAATAAGCCTGGCTGGCGCGTAATAAACAAATTCCGCGAATGCTGACAGGGAACGGTCGCTTACTTGGTACTCTCGGCGGAATTCAGAACGTTCCCAGCGAACGTGAAGACCTTTTTCACCACCAAGTGCGCGAGCGCAGTCAAATCCTGAGAAGCGATTTTTTTAAAATAAAATCGATGAATTTTCGTATCGCTGAAATTCTCAATACGTACCTCCTTTCTGTATTGGGCCAAAAAATCCTCGAGGCTGCCTTCCTTGAAAGACGTCCACCATATTGGAACCTTCGGCTCTTTGTAACCTTCCGAGGCGGCTCGAATTATCGTCGACTCGACGTGCGCCAGTTTTTTCAGCAAGTAACTCTCGTCGTACGCGTCCGACGAGTTCCTCCATCTTCGTCTCTCCTGCAAAATATATCCGCGCGACAGCGTTGCTTGGAACGAACGTCGTTTGCAGCGAAATGTTATGAAAGTTGCGTAATTTAGTCGGGCGTCGTACCTCAAACTTGACATCGAGGGGCAATATATCGATCAAAGTCAGCCGTCTCTCGTTGAGAACGATCTTTTGGCAGAAGTTGGTGATGCTCGACAAAAGGACCTTCTTCCGTACGAAACTGGGCACGATCAAATATTTGTCGATGTCGCACGGGTGTACCTTGCCGAGCGAGAGTTTCTCCCCGAAATCGTTCAATCTCTCCGACTTCACGAAAGTGTCAACACCGGTGACGGCGAGGTTCGGCAGGTCTTCTATCAGAGTTAAGATAGGTTTCACCCTCGAGTTCTCGTAGACGGCGCGAACCTTTTGCCAAATATCGCCGCCGGCCAGTAGCTCGACCGTGGCGTCCAGAAGCTGATACGCCCGGGCCAATTTCGTGAACGGGTCCGTCGCCCCGTCTAATCTCGTCTGATTTTCGCGATTCTCGATGAACCTCGTGCTCTTACGGATCCAGGTTTCGCCGGCTCTCCCGATCACGGACCACGTCTCGTTCGACAAATTCCTCCAGGTGGTGCCGTTGAAAATTCTCGACTTTATGACGAGAGCGGACTCCCGCCCCGCTTGCAAGTTCAACGCCGTGTCCAACAGTTTGGTAACGGAGGAGCTCAGGGACGTTAATTTTGGTAACGTCGTTTGACCGGTCACGCGAGACTGTTAAAAATTCACGGTGTGTTGAAAACAACGGAGATGATAGTCCGATATCTTTCTAAGATTTGGCTCAACTTACGTAGTAATCCGCGCTGGTGACGCTCTTGAGTAATTGTTCGGGGTCGAGGGAGCATATTTCCGTCACGAATCGAGTTCTGTTCGGAGTGGACCAGTAGCTCGAGTTGAACCGAAAGTTGCACATGGCTCTCCTTACGTCCTCGTACGACGTGAGAGCGTTTGTCGACGAATCGAGCGTGGTAAGACTAGCCACCAGAGCGATCGTTTCCTCGGGATGATGGTCGAGAATCTTCAACAACTGGCGGGCATCGCCACTCTCGACAAGGTCCCAAATGTTGATATCACTGTTCTCGGTGTTGATGTTTTTCATCGCGTTCGCGATGTGATTCAAAACCTCGGCGACACCCTCGATAAAGATTCCGTAATTACTCCCTCTTAACTCCTGAAACATATCGTATCGGTCGCAAACACGTTCACCACTCGAATGCTGACGAAACTCAATTGACTCACCTTCTCTTGAATGGTCTCTTCGTCGTGGAACTCTAGAGCGTCCTTGAACTTCTCAAGAGTAGTCGACAGATACGACATCGAAAATGGCATCTCGATTTCCACGTTCCTGTCCGCTGTGCTTCCCATGATGCTCCGAACTTCAAACGCAAATTCGTACAAGTCGCCAATCGACGTGATCGTGTACGATCGATAGCTATTGACAGGCTTCGACCATAGACTTTCCTCGGCCATGTACAGGTCAGTGTAAGCGTTGAAGTTGTCAGGGACAAGATCACAGGTGAAATTCTTCAAAATCCTGTATTCCTCGGAGCTAAGGCCCATGACGTGATCCGACCACCATTCGAATAATCGAGAACACGTGACGTTGCCTGATGACGTTACTATGCGATTGCCGACGTCCGAGGCCGATAATCCGTTGACCAGCGTGGCCAGAACGTAGTGCAGCTTGTTGTAATAAATCGAGATTGGTGTTTTGTCGTTGAACCCCAACAGAGGTAGCAAGCTAAATTTTACGGATTTTTCCGAAGGCTGTTGCAACGCAGCTAAGAAAACGTGGAGTAAATTTTGATAATTTCACGAAAACGTGAAGAATATAGCAAGTGTAGAGGCTTGTTTGGCGCACTCACCATCGCGTAAAATGTCAGTTGCAGTCTTTATCGTTTTGTGAACAACGTGCGAGAGATATTTCACCAGAAGGAGAACTCGATCCTCCACGCGAATCGTCGGTGTCCAAAATTCTTTAGCCGAAAGATGATTCTGGAAAACCGTCACTATCTTGTCCAATTCGTAGTCGATGTATTCGAGGGTGTTTCTGAATAAAAAAAGTACGCGTAGAAAGTATATATGGACAAATTATACAAACGGATTGTTAACATAAAAAGTGCCCAAAGGCTGTTTGAATATTAAATCGTTACTTGGCATCGTTCTTCATATCCGGCCATCTATTGCTGAATATGCTCTTAACTTCTGACACGAGGGACTCCAAGTGCTCCGAGAAATTCGGCTGCTCCGCCAGAACAACTTCTTTCACGTCGTTGACCAGATCGTCGAGCTTCTTGGCCTGTCGACGGAATATTATGTAACCCAAAGTCCAATTGAAGGGCGGCGATTGAATCACGTTGTCACGCTGAAACTGTCACATTCCGTCATTGAGCATCACCGACATCAACGACAGCCAAGGAAAGTAAGGAAAGAGAAAATTCTTTCTCAACGTACAATTTTCTTCGCTCTCGCGAACACCGCTTGCTCTCTCCATTCTTTAATAAACAAAGCTGGATTACACGACACCCTCTCGATCTCCCTTATTATTTCCCGAGTGCCGTCCCGCATCTCCATGGCAGATCCGACGCTCTCGTTTTTCACGCAGGGCCAATGTTCCTCTCGCGTCTTGTAATCATCTAGGACGGATATCTGAAGGCAGAAGAAACATCACGGTTCTCAGGAATGAAATATCGGTTTGCGAGATCAGCTTGCAGCTAGGTGTCCACTGGAGAGTAAAACTGTCGCGAGTTGCTCTCGAGAATATTTCTCGCAAATGGATACTGTTCTGAGAGTCGACGTGTCGCAAATGGGCACAATATTACACTGCTCTCGGAGAATTGCTGTCAGTATTCGAAACGGTTTCGAAATCCTGAGAGTACTCTCGTGCGAATCGAATAATAAATAATAAGAAAAGTGTGGTTCATCAAAAAATGAAATTATTGAACTAATTTCTTTTAATTTAAATTACTATATAATAATTATATTATGTAATATTTAACTATATAATATTGTATAATTAAATAATTATTAATTTAAATTATTACTATATAATAATTATATTATATAATATTTAACTACATAATATTATATAATTAAATATTTTATAATAATTAAATAATTATTAATTTAAATTATTATATATTATAATAAAAATAATAAATAAAATAAATATAAAAAAATTATATGTAAATATAAATATTTATATAAATTATATAAATATATAAATATTTAATTATACTAAATATTATATAATAATTTAAATTATTGAACTCTTTTTTTTTATGTTGATTTTTCTGTTCTCTTAAAATATCATGGGCACACATTGTTTGCACCTCCATGATAGCGATGTCACTTTTCACTTGTGTTTCGACTAACTAAACACCATAGTGAATAGAACCAGAGACAATGAACTCTCAAATGGACACGGTTTTGAAAGTTCTGTCGAATAGTAAGCTCCGGAGAGTATTTCGGTCTCTCTCGGAGTGTGAAAATTCTCGAATGGACACAACGCTCGAGAGTAACTCTCGCGAGAAACTCTCAAATAGACGCAAGGCTTACGAGATGAATCGGCTTCATGGTAACGATGTCGACAACGTCGAGGATCAGAGGGGACAAGTTTCGCAGGACAGCGCTCAGAAGTATCTCCGTCTGCGGCATGTCCTGCAGCACCTCGGACAGCTTCGCCGTATGATCGTTCTTTTGGATTTGATCGACGATCCTCTCGACGTTCTCGAAGATCACCGATGACGCCCAGGCAATCGCGTGCATCTCCTTCCACATTCCTTTCGCGCGGAACAGAGGGCTCTCCATCAGACTGAAGAACTTGCAGATCAAACCTACGCTGCAAAAAGATGCAACGTGTCACCGAAAATGAATGTGTCTGCCGTTGAAAAGGATGGCGACGAAGGGGCAAAAGGGTTTTTCGTGTAGCTTGCCTACCTCATCTCGAAAACATCTTTCGCGCCTAAATTGAGGCTCCATGACGTTTGAAACTCCTCCTTCAATCTTTCCAATCTGCTCGAGTTGTAGTCCGAATTCTCCTGGTGGACCAGAGTATCGACGTAACGATAAATCTCGATCGTTTTCGCGTTGAAGCCCGTCCAATTGAACGGCGCCTTGTTCCTGTAGCGGAATTCCTCCGTCTGCTCGATGTCCGATATGTTCATCTCCAAGTCCGTTTGCACCAACTTCGAGATGCGACAGACCAACGCCTTCAGCACAGTTTCGTTCGAGCCTTTCGGGAAATTGATCAAGTCCGGTCGGTACGGATTCGTGCAGTAGATTCTCGTGAAATTGTCGTATTCCAGAATGTTTAGAGCCTGCAACGTAGGAAGAAAACTGTTGCCTTTTCCTGATTAAACGAAGCACGCGGAATATTGGCATATTCCTGGCCTGTGAATAATAAATCTCACCGGTTCTTTCGGGTGAACATATATCTCGTTTACTTGTCAGAAGGCTTCTCGAGCTTGCGAAAGAATTACGCGATTGTTTACCAACCTTATCCTTGTCGATCACTGTCAAGTAGAACGACTCGATCAGTTCCATCTTCCGCTGTCTGAATTCACCGATCCAGCTCGTGGGATTCCTCTTCAAGTCCTGCAGGATTATCTCCGCGAGTATGTCCATCTTCCTCAGGTCAGGCTCGATGGTGGTGTAAGTTAAACTATGAGAACCGATCATTTTCGCGATGCTCAAGTGGATCGCCAGGCTGAGAAAAGGGGAGAAGAGAGCCAAGAGTAAGAGTCGAGTGAGAAATTTTAGTGCTGGTAAGAGCTTGGGTCTGATTTGTCAATTACTCACAGGTTCAATCTTCCTTGGGCTCGAGTTTCTTCGAAAGCCTCGTGCCATTTTTCATTGAACTTGAACACGGTCCAGTCGGGCTCTGGTCTCCTCGGCGAGTTCAAATGCGACACCAGTTCCCTCGTGTTGCTGACGAGCGATGTTAGGTTCGATTTCTCGATGCTGACTACCCTGTGCAGCACCATGCTGAACACCGTGGACAAAGCGTCGTTCATCTACCAAAATCACGAGAACGCGAGATTTCGAGAATCGAGGATACCAGGGGAATTACAATGCTTACTATGCTCTCGAAGTTGTTCAGCGCGAAACTTTCGTACACATCACGGATGAACTTCTTCCCGGCATCGTTGCACACTGTGTCCTCGATATACCTAGATTCGTTCCTCCCCAGTTCGGAGAGCCGAATGATTTCGTTCAACGTCTCCCCTTGACAAAAGAAATCCTCCACTCTGTTGAACTTGACTTTATCCACGAATTTCTGCAAAACGTGTAAGAGTCGTCTCTTATCAAGCGCGAAATAATCGCGTAACAATGATAAGGAGAATGTTTGCCAACCTCGACGAAGTTCAAGTTGGAGAACGATTTGACGAGAGCTCGATAAACGTTCGGCTCGAGGCTCGTTAACAGTTTCTCCACCGTGTCCTTGTGATTTATGGAAATATTGTAAACTCTGTATTGAACGTCCTCGTGAATGACGGCGGCGTGATGCAGCATCCTGACTATAACTCGCATGAAAGATATGACGTAGCTCAACGTTGCTAGGACGTTGTCCGAGAAAAAATCCGTGAGTCCGTCCAGAATCTCGGCTGGTCTATAAAATGATCATTTTTATATACGTAACTCGCAAATATCTCTCATCGCATTCTTCGAGAAAAAAGATGTACAGGGTGGGTCACCGCCATCTAGATTTACGTCATTATTATTACGAGTGGCGAAAGATGTTTCAGACGAGATTGAATGGTTTCGAGAGGGGCACATTTCGATGATACTAGTTTTCTTGTAGAGAACATGTGAAGATCATTAACGTTTCTTTAAATGGAATCATATACTTCTTAGTGCATCAGTTGATGCACCTTGATATTCTTTACAAAAAAGTATTAACCCATTTATGGTAAAGAATCATTAGTATAGGAGATATTTTAATTTTTAATGCTGATAAGAAATCATGACCCCATGTTAATGTTGTAATGATTTTATTTACAGAAAAGGTTCAATGTGACGACCATTTACATCGTGACATTTTCTGAAACGATAGATTAATCATTCGCATTGTGTAATGTATCTGGTGTTATTTTATTACACTCAGTGATGATACGATCTCTCATATTGGCCGGAGGCTCAGCGCACACTTTCTTTCCTAACAACAGTAAAATATCTCCTAAACTAATGACCTTTTAACATAAATAGGTTAATACTCTTTTGTAAATTTTAATTTTGTAAAATTATCGTATGAAAGACATGGAAGGATAGTATTCTTATATTTATACTGTCTTTGTCTTTTACGCGTAGAATTTACAAAATTAAAATTGAAATGTCTCCTAAACTAATGACTCTTTAACATAGATAGGTTAATTCTTTTTTGTAAAGAATATCAAGATGCACCAACTGATGCAATAAAAAATATATTTAGAAAAATGTTGATGAGCTTCATATGTCCTCTACACGTCCACCTACAAGAAAACTAGTATCATCCAAATGTGCCCCTCTCGAAACCATTCAATCTCGTCTGAAACATTTTTCGCTACGCGCAATAATAGTGATGTGAATCTAAATGGCAGTATGTGGTGACCCACCCTGTATATGCTGTACAAACAATCGTTGTCTCACAGTTGAATGTCGTCGACGTGACGGTCCAAGATACTCTGCGTTAATTTGGCGCCGTCGTGCAGAATGGAAATGCCCAGGTCCAGAATTTGAGTGAAATTCTCCGGATTCGCCACACTGTCGAGCATAAGTTGAAACCCGCCGGATAAACGCTGCACTAGTATGAAAAAACTGTCGGACGAGTCGACGGTAGTTCGATCGTTCAATGTTTGTTTAGCCAGCTCGAGGAACTTTTGCAACTTTGAGAATGCCTGCCGCACGGTTGGCCAGTCGCGCTCCTTCGAAAACACCGGGTCCAAAACTTGCATCGATTTGTTCACGCTGCGATAGCGAGTGACGATTATTATTATTATTATTATTTTTTTTTTTTTTTATTTCAATTGAGACGAAGATTTATTTGACATTTAAAATCTGATTACTCACAAAGTCAGGTCAATCTCTTTGAACGTGACGTTCTTGAACATCGTTATTATCTTTGGCAGCCATTGGCGTATCTTCAAATACTCTGGGATGTACTTCTGCACGGTCTGCAGCTCGAGGATCGTTTCGACCGCTCTCCTCAGGTCGTCGAAGAAATCGTAGTCGCGGAACTTTGCCATTACTCGGTCGACCATCTCCAGTAAACCGGAAAAATCAAGGTGCTTGGACAAACTCTCGAGCATGTCGGGTATCATGTCCGAGTCGATGTCGCAGAGCATCTTGGAGATCTCCGCGTAGTCCTGCTCGTCCCGTAGAATCAGGTACTTCTTCAAACTTTCCGGCGAGCAGATCACTCCGTCGATATTGGACGAGCCGAACGCCTCGACGAGCTGAAAATCGGTTCGCATAAATGTTGAAAACAATTCCGCCGGGATGATCGATCGATCATCCTGCCTGGGTGAAAGGAAGTTGACCGAGGGCTTAATAAAAAAACGATACTGACGTATAACAACTTTATAGACGAGTTGAACAGTTGGTCGATCAATCCGATTCGCGCGTACGGCATCTGAAGCCTGAGGTGGTTCTTGATTTCCTCGTGGTTGTTGAACAGATCACCCAATCGAATCCCTCGATCTAGTTTGACAAATTCAATGCTCGATGTAAATTCCTCCGCGTCGGTGCCCGCGTGATGGTAAATGAGATGTTCGGGCAACTCGTGCGTACGTACCGAACAGCGATTTGATTTCCGGTCTGGTAAGTATCTGCGCCATTGATTTCAGAAGCTGGATGCTATTCGGCAGGGTGCTGATGGCGGAAAGAATCGTCTCGTTACCGAGCATCGGCTGCAACTCTACCACCAACGGACCTAGACTGTCGTAAAAATGACAATTTCCTTATATCGCGCGGAGATGAACCTTACTTAAAAAGCGTTTCACCAGCCACTTTAATTTCTGTTACTTCGCTTCAATTTAATAGAAATTCGAATAAACTTCTCAGAATTGACTGTCCAGCCAAAGGACAGACGACAGATGATTAAAAAAAAAAAAAAAGAGTGAGAACTTGTTGGACTAACGTGGCGTTTCTGTAAGAGGGAACCTCTTCGTATTCCGACAGAGGGTCGCAGGGATTCCCAAGGCTGCAGATGAAACTCTGAACGAACGGGAGCAGACCATCCTGTGGCATCGACCTCGCAGGAAATTGGCAAGTTGGATAGTACCTCGGATCCACGTTGTCACGAATCGTGTAGAGGATCATGAACACGACCACCGGCCATACGAATACCAGGGCCGTTATACCCTAAACATTTGTGAAGTTTGTGCGTTTTACCTACCGTTTCGTCGTTCGTAACTTCAAACAGCTCTCTCTGCACTGTCATAATTACCGGTTGGCGTTTTCGCACGATGTAATTCTTCCATAAGAGCAGTCCGATTTGATCGACCCTCATCTTTGCGAGAACAATATCAGATCTGCAAAATTAATCATCGAACTGCATTACGCCTGTCGTTCTTTGCTTGCTACGAAGTTTAAGCCTTTGTCCTCGACAAAAACTTTCTTCGTATCATCTACCAGCAATTTATTTACGAAGCATCAGTTCGTAAATAAAATGATATAGCATTGAAAATAATCATTCATTTGGTAACACGAAATTTCATTAATTGTATCTTCCTAATGTGATATCGTTAAAATTTAAAGCTATCGTCAATACACGTTGCGGGTTTGTTAGAACAAGTATAACATACAAGAGTTGATGATACATAGTTCCAATTTCTGGAAGAAATGGTCCACCAATTTGTAAACTTTCGTAAGAAGTCTAATTTATGTGAATTATATTCCAAATTATTCCAACGAGTGTCGATTGACTCGGGACTGTTTTCAGAAATTTCCTCTTCTAGAATTCTTTTGTTCTTCTTACGTTATTATAGTTTTCGTTCTAGGCGCCTGTTCAGATATTATACTATCGTACATTGTATCATACATAGAGATTGAAAACCGAAATATTTTGAGGTTTAGGTATTATACCCAGAGACTGAAACCGAAATATTGTGAAGTTTAGGTATTATACCGGTATTTGCTCTCATATTATCGTAACATAACCGCTATTTGGGAAATCGGTTTTAATACCGGTATAAGACGGTAATACCGGTATTTTCATACGTATTTTATCGGTATTTGATGTCCACAACGGTAAAAATATCGAAATATATACTTTACTGACGAAAACACATTTTTCATTTTCTACGTACAGTGACTCTTATTAATATTCGGACATCATGCTAAAATATTGTTGTGGATTTCGATTGTTTATAATAGTAAATTTGGTTTAATTTTTTAATAATGTAATAGAACATTCATTATAGTTTATAGCAACATAAATTTTATTTACTTATTGCACATACTTTTCTTAATATCAAACAATAAACTGAACTATGTCGAAATGTAGTGTGGCAAAAATATTCGGACATTTGAAGAACTACAATATTTGAACCTGAAAATTGTTAACATAAACAATAATTAATATTTTGTTAGGTAGCTCTTAACTTCAATAATCTATCGCAGACGCTTAGGCATATTTCCAGTAATTTTTTTTAAGTAATTTAGCAGAATATTCTTCCGTTCTACGACTAATCGTTGTTTGAACTCCTCTTTCGATTTATCGACGTACGACAATTAGTCATTTATCACCGAGAAGGAGGAAAAACTTATCGAGAAATCGGTCATCTTTTAAAATTAAATAAGAGTATCGTGACTGATATTGTATGGAGATAGAACGATGAATTAGTATTAGAAATAATAAAGGATACGAGTATAAGCGTCATCAAATTTACTATCGGCAGCTTTATGAAAACATTTAATCATTGTCTCCTTTTCCTTTTCTAATATATTAATATTTTATTTAACGGTATTATACTAATATTATACCGAAATACATCTACCAACCTAACATCGTTTTGATACCTGGTACCTGTATTCGCACCATTTCGGTTTCATCAAACGTAATCGAATAATAACCTAAAAATACCAGTTTATTTTACCGGTATGCGTAATACCGATTCGGTCTCCGATCATACAACACTGTGTACGTTTGTACATAATTATCAGCAAATTTCAATAAGAGAAAGTCCGAGTTGTTGGCTAGATTCAAGTACGATGTATCCCTCGGAAGAAACAGTCAGAGTGCAAAGGGTTAACTCCTCCTTTGCGCATTGTCGCGCGAACATAGACTTATCGAAATATCATAGCCCCCTTATCTACTGCTTTCGCGCTTCACGCGCGCTTTGTTTCGCCGAACAAAAAGAACGTGAGTTCGTCGACACGATCACACGCAGTGGACTTTCGTGGGAAATTTCGAAAACGTCGATGAAGAAGGATCGATGGCGAGGGTGCATTCGAAAAGCGAACCGCGAGCCATAAATCAAGATTGAACCGGGGTAGAAACCGATCGGCTGATATATCGCGCAGGACAGAACAAATATTTGAAGAGCGTAACAAGCGTGTCTGTCGATACACCGGCAACCGGAAATGCGCTTCACTCTGTCGCGTATTGCTCCGGGATCCATTGCGGGGAAACGGGACAATGAACCGTGCGGATTGCTTTTTGCGCGAAGAACCCAAGTCGATCATTCGTACGTGTCGTATCACCTTTATTTCCGGTTGAGGTAACGAGTTTTGAAATGAAACAACTTGAAATATATATATATATATATATATATATATATATACATATATGTGTGTGTGTATTCTAATTCTCGTGTCGGTGAATAAATCACCGCTGAAATTTAAATATAATTTTATATATATATTCTAATTTTCATGTCGGTGAATAAATTACGGCTGAATTTTAAATAAGAGTTTAATGTGTATATTGCTTGGAAACGTGCATAAGCTCCGGCCTCGGTAAAGCTTTCGAATCTGATCGTTCATTTATTAATGACACATTTTCGCGTGTGTACGCTGTTCATTTTACAGTTTTAATCTCGGCATCGGAATAAAAATGTACGACTAATTTATTTTCATCAATTTTGTCCGAACGTTGCCAGAACGTTTTAATGAAATTAAAACATGGCTCGACGAAACACTTTGGCACAACTATTCCCTTAACTATTCCGCGCTAATCAAATATTGAAAATCGCAAAGTGAAATCAGAATGTTAGACAAACGTTAATGGCAATTGATGGCTATTGTTGAACCTCTCGATATACGCAATAGGAAAACATCGGAGGTTCCACGTGCCACGTGCCACGTAATTAAACAAAATATCATTGACGTCGTTGATTTACAATCAACAGAAGTTGATCGACGAATATCGAAAGTAAATATTAAACGATAAATGGCAGTGTTCGCGGTCGACCTCCAGAATCAAGAAGCATGCCTGCACACGCACGCCAGTCCTCCAACTCGTTTCGTGCACACCCATCATTATTCCAGTTCAAGATTACGAAGATGCAAAGTAATTATTGATTTGGAAATATCCAACAACATCTTCACTCTGTTATTTGTGTAATCGCTGACATTTGCGGAGACGTTTGCGAAAAATTCCTGGAAGCTTCTCGAACACCGTAACAACGAAAAGTGGAAGAGATAAGACGAAGAAATAAACTGAAATGAATATTTCAATTAAACAAATAATTCTCTACATAATTGAAGCAAAATGAAGAAGTTTTCCTCCTTTGCTGATAACGCAATAAAAATATAAATATGTACAGTGATAGACCTCCTCCTCCTTCCCCTTTAACGCGGAGGATACGTTCCGCGTTATGTGAATTCCGTGTTAAGGTCGACTCACATATTCATTTAGATAGAGACCGTCACGGAACGATTCGGTATAAATTGACCTTTAGTCTTCCTTCATATGAATCACTTAGGTTATACGCGTGCATAGTTTACGTATGCATGCGAAAACGCACACATTATTTATGAAAAACATGAAACGTACATTTGACGTGCCTATATACGAAACAAACAAATATTAAAATCGAAAATGTATCTTTTTGCTCAGTTTTCACGCGAGACAAAAGGAGCAGTCGCGCTTTTATCGACGTTTATTCACTCACGGAGCTATCCGTGATTAAATTCCAGCGACGTCGTCTCTTAAACGTTGCCTGTGACATTTTGTTTCGTCTCTATTAATTTCTAGATAGTTTTTCTATTTGATTTCATTGTTATTTATTTATTTATTTATTTATTTCAAAATAGGAAACCAGACGAGTGCGTACGTACCATGTCACACGAACATTGCCACAACTTTCCCACCGTGTTGCACGAATTCGTGTTACATGTTACTCGCATCATAACGCTCTATCGTACAAATAAATGACCACGAATAATTCACGAAGGAAAAACTTTCATGATGTAACGTAAATGTAATTACGCGTGACCATGAATTCACGTTTTGCTGTTTCATTTAATGCTCGCCGATAGTTATTATCGCTCCGTAAAGATTCTCATTCGAAGGAGAAACATTCCGGCCGGAGGATGGTTTCTCATTCATTAGCGCGTCACAGATTGTGTGCACTTTCACTGCGTTTGTAAATTACATCTACCAGCCAACGTTTGCACGAGCGAAACATCGCGTTAGATCGTCCGCCGGATATTTCATTTTGTACGCGCAGAATTGAGATCAAGGCATTTCTACCTTGTTTTCTTCCTTCGTCAAAGTGTCAATAACAGGAAGAAGTGTGTACACAAGAAGTACAAGGAACATTCCTCGGTGTTGGAACGTCCGATATGTAATACGACGTCTAGGAGGATTAGACTTGGCAAAACAAATTAAATTTTGCCTTCCTCAGCATTGTGCGTTTACAAACATGTAGAGCATGCTTAAGGTAAAACTTTGTTTAAAAATGAAGAAGAACCTAAAAACACGTGATTAATGAACACTTCTCCTACTTCTTCCGTTTCAGACACCTGACAACCCGCGATTTACTTCGGAACCTTGTAATTCAAACCTGGGAACGGTAAACTACCATTGCCAGCAAAAATCGATTCTTCATTACCAAGGTGTTCTCGATCATTAGGAATCGCGGATTGGCACGGTTCAAAGTCGACCAGACGGTGTCACGGAAACGTGCAAGGGAACGGTGATTAACACTTTTCTCGATACATCGAAATCCTCGCGCGTGCTAATTTGCCAAGTGTCCATACGTACAAACTGACAAGAGATCCTCGAACACGGAACGCGTTCGTTTACCAAGGCATCTGTCTTGCTGCACCATGATGACGCGCCAAAAGCTCGCTTGGTCATTGCTCGACAACAGAAGCCGATCAGCAGGCAACATCGTTTTTCTCAGAAGTCTAAACAGTTTGCAGCAGAGCGTAAGCTGGTCGAGCAAGTTTCCCGATCCCATTACCGCTCGTAGACCTTGCCGACGGGCAAAGAGGAGAAAAGGGACGTCGAAAGGGAGCAACACGTTGCATCGCTTACGTCTCTCCTCGTGTTCGCCGTAGATTGAAAAGTCTTGGGTCGAAAGAAGACTCGGAGAGAATCGAAGGTGGGCAATTTCCGAAAATTCCGAGGATTACGAAATGGTTTTTCATTCGAAAGAAAAGAGAAGGAACCGAGCGGATGGAAGAAAACGGTGGTCGACACCGTGGAAACAAACCGTGAACCTCGCGCTCGCCCGGCCGTTTAGAATTTCAATCTGATGTTTTGCATTTCACGTTGGCGCGTAATTCCTGGCCGAGGCGTACGTAAGCAAACGCGAGCCCCTGAGATCAAGGGAAGCACGGATCGGTAAACAATGTGGTTCTCCTTACGCAAACTCCTCCTCCCCCGTGCAATCACGCTGATGGTACTTACGTTTACTTTTACTCCGGCAAATTCCTCCGGATCGCGCGAATTGATATATATCAACAGTCGCCTTGATCGTCAAACAAAACCAAACTAGCTAGAGCTGTAATATCACTCGGGCCTCATCGAGCTGACGGGTCGCGAACTCGGTGATAACCGCAGTCACCAACACGCCGCGCGCGTGTTGCACGCACCACGTCGCGGTGTAAAAAGAAAGAAGAGAAACACGAGAGAACGCTTGCCACCGATCGCTGGTCTCACGGTTACCTCGACCGAAACGAGCAACACGACGGCGTCGAGCGTCGATCGGGGACCACGGGATCGTCGAGATGCATCCACGAGACGATTCACAGCAACCCGAGGAGCATGTCTCACCGGCGATTTCCAGTCGAGACACGACGCGAAACGGAGCGTCGAGTTTTTGGCAAAACGTTCCGGTTCGAAAGGGCAGCCGCTCGACTTTCTTCTTCAGGCGTGTGTACACGAACGAAAGGGAACTCGTCCCGACCTGTTCCCAACCGATTCTTCGCTCTTGCTCGCTCTTGCGTCTCGTTCGTCTGGCAAAAGAGAAACACACTAGGCACGGGCGTTTATACACACTTGGACGACGGTCGGAGGCCGACTGTTACCACCACTGTGATTCACGACCACGTGGAACTTAGCAATGCTTCAACATCCGCTCGTGAATATGTATTTATAGGTTCGTACACAACGACAGTAGGTTGCACGCCAGTATGTTTCTCGCCTGAGATGTACCCCCTTGGGCCCGATGCTGCTCTTCAACTTTGTTCCTTCCTCTCCTCTCCTTTCTACCCTCTCCCTGCCCCGTTCCGCGATTTCGCACTCCGATCTTTTCAGCGAAATAAAGGCAATCTCGTTTCTACCGCGGCATTCAAACACGCGGAACGAATCCTGGAACCCTTGTGGGGCCTGTGTGACGTACGTAGCTTGACGTTGTTTCTTTTTCCCTCGTCGAGGCCTGCGGTTTCCTTATCCTTTTACGTTTTTCGTTTTCGTTTCGTCGCTTTTGAAGCGGGCAGAGTTGAACTCCTCCCGGAGAGAATTCCTCGACGGTCGAGCGACATTGTAACTCGGAAATGAGACGGTGAACACGCGTCCGGAGAACGATTACGTTAAAGAAAGTAAGATTTATGCGTTTTATAAAGAACGAGTCCAGACGAGGCGTGTGTATGGCTGGTGTGTTGAGATTCAAATATTCGTCGATAAAAATCTGACGGGACGTGGGCTGATTCAAACACTCTGGGAATTAACGTAAAACATGTTGCGATGCGGACAATTAGAAATTTAAACGATCGTATAAATTTTCTCGCACGAATCATTGACATTCATATCGGTTAGATGCGAGCGACATCGCGATTTGAATTTAAAATAAGTGTTTTTCTTTTCTTTTTTTTTTTCTTTTTGTTTTCGTTTTAGTTTCGATCGTACAATTATTAATTAATTTCAAAAGAGTGGCGTTATAGCGACGTTTAACGGCCAGATTTGTTTAGCAAATAAACGCGAACGAGGCTTGAGACAAACGGGGTCGATCAACTGACTGACCTCTTGTATTAAAACGTTCAACCGAAGCCAATCGTGCTCGACAGACTATCGTTACCATTATCGAAACTCATCAGCTATATCAGTGTTTCAGTTATTAATTAGTATTAATTATCGTTCCCGAACGGGCTGAAATAAACGAACGCGAGATCGTGAAATGATCGAACAAATTATTGTCCAAAAGAACGCAAGGACGTGGCCAAAATTTATTCATATACTGTCAGAGCAACCTCTGTATTCTTTGCGTTCCCTGATTACCATTTTTCCAAATAAACTACGCCACGGCACGTGCTTCTGTAAAACTACTACTTCGTGATTGAAAGAAATTTTAGAAACGAGAGACACCGACAAACAGGAACTTCTTTCTACCAACGATAACAGCGGACGAACTGTGCGAACCAGTTCCAGAAAATGCTTCAAAGAATCTCTTCTTCCGGCAGCATTTCTGCGCGGCGACATCGCCAAGAAGTCGGCACGATCTTTTTCATGGAACGACCTAAACGATCGTGTGTTTATCGCGTTTTCCGAAACGACGTCCAGCGAGAAGAAGCGATCAATCGTCAGGGGAAAAAACGAAGCGAATTGAAGGTCGCTCGGGCAGAGAAATAGACACGAGACCCGGAGTATTTAATCGAAAATGTTTTTGCCATAGGTCGGTTCAGGTAAGGAAAACTTTGAGGGAGATAGACATCGGGGGCGAGGAAAGGAAAAGAATGTCCTCGCAGCGTGAAGAGAAATAAATGGCCCGAGGGACGTTGGTTCTCGTAAATATTCTCCGAAGAAACGACCTAACACTACGTGCTTAGGTAAAAAAATCTGAAAATGCTCGAGCATTTCGTCCTTTCTCTTCTTGGAAATCGGCTAAAGCCCATCCTGATCGACTGAAAAGAAATCCTGCTTCTTTTTCTCCTTTTCTCTCGCCCTTTAACCCAGAGACCGAATTACGGATACCGGTAAAATACTGGTATCTTTAGGTTACTATTCGATTACGTTTGATGAAATCGAAATGGTACGAATACTGGTATGATGCTATGAAAACGATGTTAGGTCGGTAAATGTATTTCTGTATAATACATAAATAAATAAAATATTAATATATTAGAAAAGGAAAAAGAGGCAATGATTAAATGTTTTCATAAAGCTGCCGATAGTAAATTTGATGACGCTTATACACGTACACTTTGTTTATTTTTATTAGCTTTTTTTATTAGTTTTTTTTTATTTTATTTATATTAGCGGCTAGCAGATGTTAAGGACGACCCAACAAAATATTAATTATCTTTTATGTTAACAATTTTCAGGTTCAAATATTGTAGTTTTTCAAATGTTCGAATATTTTTGCCACGCTACATTTCGACATAGTTCAGTTTATTCTTTGATATTAAGAAAAGTATGTGCAATAAATACATAAAATTTATGTTACTGTAAACTATAATGAATGTTCTATTACATTATTAAAAAATTAATCCAAATTTACTATTATAAACAATCGAAATCTACAACAATATTTTGAATAGCATGATGTCCGAATATTAATAAGAGTCACTGTACGTAGAAAATGAAAAATGTGTTTTCGTCAGTAAAGCGGTATATATTTCGAAATTTTTTTATCGCTGTGGACATCAAATACCGATAAAATACGTATGAAAATGCCGGTATGATTGTCTTATAAAAACCGATTTACCAAATAGCGGTTACGATAATATGGGAGCAAATACCGGTATAATACCTAAACCTCAAAATATTTCGGTTTTCAATCTCTGCTTTAACCACTTGCGCTGGCAACTGATTGCGGACCATAACGAGTGACCAAACCGTACACAATAATTCGTCGCTTTCTTTTTGAACTCGTCGGTACGATATCGCTGGATAGAAATTATCGTGAGGTAATAAATTTATTATTTGCTTTGCCTTAATATATACTTGAATATACTTGAAACCGAAGGATTACAATTTTGGAACGAAAAATTCTCGGCGTGCGTGGCACATCATTCCAGCACAAGAGATTAATCAGCCACGGCTGGTAATCCTGTTGGCAAACACGAGGAAGAATATAACGAAATTCCACGTAACCGAGTCGAAAATTCTATCCCTTTTTTTCGAAGCCGCATAGCTGAATCTAAAAATACGAAGCACGTGGTGTTTAAAAAGCGAAAGCCAAAAAGCGAGAGAACCTGTCCGACCGGAGCTCGGCCTCCCGTGTCTTATTTCGTGGAAATCGAGAATACGCGGCTGCATACGCGTTGCATTATACCGAGTTGGTATCGAATGATGCGACTGCTATGTCGGAAACTAAAGGAACGATTGCGTGAACACGCATCGGTGAAAGAATTCGTTGGAAAAAGAAAGAATAAAATACCAGTTTCCATCGTTGTTCTAGCGACGATTATCTAATAAATGGGAGGAGAAGCGAGAGGCAAGAAATCGATAAAACATGCTATTCGTGAGATAAATAACGTGACGCAAACGGTGGCTAATTAAGCGATGTCGATGCAATATCTATGCTGTACGAGATTTAAATTCGAAAAATTTAGCATAACTGAACCGAACTGAAGACGAGTTAATTCGTTAATTGTATAGGCGACGTTCCTTCATTTATGGATCCTCTACATTTGAATGTATTGTTTCGTTTGTAATGATTCAGTTTGAGAGAATAAGAATCGACGTGTTTCGAATCAACTTACGATTACAGAAATTTCGGAAACCGATCGGCCAACTGGAAACGATTGCTGCGGGATTCTCGTCGGTGATGATTCTTTCAGGCGAGATTGATCGATTCCTCGAGCTCAATCCTGTTCCTCGAAATCACCCATCGAGCACAATAGTCTTCTAGACAAAATGTAGGATAATTGTCCGCTCTTCGTGAATCGTCAATGGTCATTTAAACAAGCAATAGAGTAGATTGCCCGATTAGGGTACAAAATCCATGATAAGCGTCACTCGCGTCACTTGCTCTTTGTCTTCGTTGAAAGTATAAATACTCGTAAAAATGTAGAAGTGCAACAATTCTGACGCGATTCTCATACATCTAACAACGAAGTGTTAAACGAAGTAAATACTTGGACGAGAGAAACTCGTGTCTTCCTTCCAATAAAAATATAGTTCTCGATTTGCAGACAGATCGTATCTACCTTTGAAGAAAGTGATTTTGTATTTATGAAAATATAACAAAATAACGTTAAATACGCAATCTATCCACGCATACGGAACGTTATTAATAATTCTTGTATAAATTACTATTAAACATACGATGCGTGATTCATTATATATAATAAGAAAGACTCAGAACCAGTATCAATAATCAGGTTCAATGTCAACGATTACGTAGATCCTACCAGACAGTTACCAACACCGTTTCGACTTGCCACCGTAAACCGATAATTTTCTTAATTATCAATTAAAGCAGCCTTCCTCGTTTCCACTTCCTGACGGCGCGCAATTCCACGAGACGCGACTCCCACAAGTCGATCGTTTTTTTTTTTTCCCTCTCTGCTATATGGTTATCTATTAAACGGACAGAAATGAAACGTCTCGAGTGGATACTTATTGAGAAAATGGATGCTAGTCACGATTTTCACGGTTACGAAACGGTGGAGGGGCATGACAGAGTTTGCAAAACGTTTGCGATTTGCGGATCCTTTGTGCAGAACGAACGTGTCCAGAACGAACAGGACGTGTCGCGACGCTTTCTCAAACGTCAAACGCAGTCAACTTATCCTCTAAATGCGGTTAGATATAATTGTACGCGAGTTCTGGAATTTTTTTTTCTTTCTTTTTTCACATATGATCGATCCACACCGCTTCACTTGACAGTGAAGAAATTCTATCATTCGCGATCGTTGCTCCTTGTAGACTCCCCGTGGTCCAATGTCGATTATTCTTTGATAACCAGCCGGGGCAAAAGATAAAAAGAAAATAACATATGTGCGCAAAAAA